AGTCTTAAGAGATAGGTCTACAATGCTTTTCATACTACATAAGTGGTTTAGAGCTGACTCTACTTATAAAGAAAGTGACAGAGGTGTATATAGGTGAAAAGCTAATGTAAAGAAAGACTGGGGTGGATTAGCAAAGACACATGGCATAGCAACAGTAAAGAGCCCAGATGCTGCCCTACCTGCTGCAGATGCTGTCTCTGCGGCTCTGCACTTCCCCGTTGGCTTCCTGGTTCTGATCTTGGTGCTGGGCTGCTGCAGCCTGTAGTATGTCTTTAATCGAAGGAAACTGGCCCAAGGCCTCAGCAGAAATCTCCTGGCCATCAACCACGTATGCTGCTCCTGGCATGGCCACGTTCCCCAGGACACCACAGGTCCCTCGGACAGAGAGGCTGCTGTGTGAGGAACTGTCACTCTCATTGCCATCAGCTTCTGACACACTATCCCCAGTCAGCGAGGCACTCTCTACGCGGTTATCAGTCTCAGATGATGGGCTAACCTCAGACACAACCGAAGTGCTACTTCTACTCTGTTTCAGGGAGCTTCCAACAGCCTCAGCAGTAGAACCAAGGCCACCAGAGTCACTTGGATCTTCAGTTCTATAGTCAGCCAGAGACCGAATCTTGCTTGACTTAGAGTTCTTTTTCTCCTTAGAATGTGCCAGCAGCCCTAAGCTGCCTACCTTGGGCCCTCGAGGAACACTGGTACGCAGGAACGAATATTCTTTTGTCACAGCTACAGTACTGGCCCTTGGCAAGTTTTCTGGATTCAACATGAGCTCAGGATCAAGTGTACTAAAAAGTTTCATTTTAGTTGCAGGTTGACTGGACTGAGAAACAAACAAAAATATGACTAAGATTAGCAAGCAGCATTTTAAAACTGTCATTCAGAAAATATGCACCAATGAATATTCTACCAACAACAGTCTACCAGGCCCTTAGAACGTTGAGTGCAGCAGATCTGAAAAATCACCTTTCAGGATGCATTGAGTGACCAGACCTGACCATCCCTGGTCCTGGAGCACAGCCTTTAATGGCCAATACTTTAAAACATTTTAAAGTGCCAGGCAGTGGTGGTGCATGCCTTTAATCCCAGCACTTGGGAGGCAGAGGCAAGTGGATTTCTGAGTTCCAAGGCAGCCTGGTCTACAGAGTGAGTTCCAGGACAGCCAGGGCTACACAGAGAAACCCTGTCTTGAAAAAACCAACCAAGGGGCTGGAGAGATGGCTCAGTGGTTAAGAGCACTGACTGCACTTCCAGAGGTCCTGAGTTCAAATCCCAGCAACCACATGGTGACTCACAACCATCTGTAATGAGATCTGATGCCCTCTTCTGGTGTGTCTGAAGACAGCTACAATGTATTCATAAATAATAAATAAATAAATCTTTAAAAAAAAAAAAGAAAAACCAACCAAACAAACAAAAAAACATTTTAAAGTGACTTACATAATAAGTTTTTCTCATTCAACTTTCCTGGCAAAACTTTCCTGGCTATTGTCCTGGTTAGTTTTTCAGATACAGAAAAACATTTTTAAATAAAGTTCTGTTGAATTGGATCTACTTTAGGTCTGTAATTATTCAAGAGGTAATGAGCCTCTTTACTCACATCTGCTTACATATAACTCAGTAAATACATATGGTAACCTTTCTTGTGGAGCGAGGAGGATACTGACATAGGGTCTCATGGTCCAGGCTGAGAGAGCCCGCATCATGCCCCTGTCCCACCTTGGTCTAGGAATACAACTATGCCACAACATCCAACCATGTAGAGCTCTTGCTCCATTTTTAACACTGCTTATTATCATTTTAATTCCCAGATATTTTATCATTTTTATTGTTGCACATTCATTCCCAAATGATTTTTACAACTGATCGTGGCAGGATAATTACTGATTTTTCCCATTAATGAGCTGAAATAACAAACAGAAAATTTCCTTAAAAAAATTTATACCTAGTAATGGTTTTCAGTTGATTTCTCATAAACTTCTAAGGCATTATCAACTTGCAAATAACACCAATCCAACTATTTGTCAGTGTTTCTGTCTCTTATCTCATTACACTAACTAGAAATTCCAAAATGGTCTGAGTTATATTTGGAAAAACCCAAGCTATGTATGTCAACATAATTGTCTTTAAAAATTATTTTTACTTTATGTGCGTAGATGTTTTGCCTGTATGCATAACTGTGCACCATGTATATGCTTGGTTCCCTTGGAAGCCAGAAGAGAGAGTCAGATGTCTTGGATCTGGAGCTATAGACGGTTATGAGTTGTCTTGTGGGTGCTGGGAATCAAACCCAAGTCCTCTAGAAAAGCAACAAGTACCCTTAACCTCTGAGCCATCTCTCCAGCTGCAGCATAACTTCCTCTTCTATGAAAATGTCAATCCTGTCATTCTACCAAATTAATGTAACCCCAGGGCAGGGACACAGGGGGAGGATGGTATACATCCTAAATGCAGCAGTTAAACATAGGAGAAATAACTTCTAGAAAAGAATACAAAGGGAAAGAAGATGGAGAAGAATGGAATGCCCAGATGTGGATTGGACAAGTTCTATGTTGTAGAACTCAGAGCTGCTCAGAAATCTCACAGAGGAGACAGGACTCCAGACTCCAATCCAAGAGACTCACCCTCTCCCGATGGCGCTTAACTCTGTACTGCATTAACTGTTCTTCCAGGCGCTTCCGGGCCTGCAGTCGAACCTGCTCCTCCTTTTCCAAGGGCAATGAAGATGCAGTGGAACCTGCAAGGGAAATGGCCATTGAGAGGTTAATAGGAAGCAGGGTACAGAAAACTCATTGGTAATCACAGATGTTTTAGATTTAATCACCAGTATGTCTTTTTTAGCTTGTGAAAAACACACAGTCACCTATATTCCATGACGATTTCCAGACTGAGAGAAAATTGAGGGCCTTAGCCACTGAGCACAGATAAAAACTGTAGTTTCAAGTGACACAACGCCAAGAAGAGCCTCTTTTCATTACACAGTCTTATTTTCTTAGGAAGTTACACTCACAGATTATCTCAACAGCTGCAGTAACAAAGTCATAACACTATGTAAAAATCAAGAGGCTATTTAACCCTATTTATTTAAACATTGTCCATTTGATAAACAAAATGGCTGACTAGTCCTGCTGCAGCACTTAGTGTAGAGTGAAGACCTAGAGGGCCAAGGGCAGGCTACATCAGTTTCCTGACAAACGAGATCAAATTCAGAACTCACACTCAAGGACAGTAAATACAATGGGAACTCTTTAAAGTAAATAAATAAATAGATTTAAAATATTAAAACTCAACTTGTGTGTATGTGTGGGGGGGGTGGTAACATAAAATTACTGTACTTGCAAACCCAAGGCAGCCACTCTCATGGGGCTGGGTTTGTGGCTTAATCCTGTATCAGCAGATGTGTCTGTAAAACATCAGCAGAGGGTTAAGAGGTCAAAAGCCAAATCTATGTCCTCTGCAAGAGCAACAAATGCTCTTAATTGCTGAGCTATCTCTCTAGCCCCTAAGATTCCTTTTGTTTTGTTGATGGGAGCCTTGCTAAGTGGCACTGAGGCTGACCTCAATTTTCAATCCTCCTGCTTCAGTCTTTCACATAACTAACTACAGGCATATAAATTTCATTTTAAAGACCATGACAAAAAATTCGAGTATTTATATAAACATGGAAAGGATCTTGTGAGAATCTGGTTTACTATTAAGATTAATTCCCTGCCTGTTTCTTGGCCACCCATGAAGAATGACCTGGGAGGTGTGTTTGTCAAGGAGTCTGATACCACTGTTAGTACAAGACGGCAGAAAGTTCCAACATCCAGACATACTTGTACTCCTTTTTTTTTTTTTAAAGATTTATTTGTTTTATTTATATGAGTACATTGTGGATGTATCTTCAGAAACACCAGAAGAGGGCATCAGATCCCATTACAGATGGTTGTAAGCCACCATGTGGTTGCTGGGAATTGAACTCGGGACCTCTGGAAGAGCAGTCAGTGCTCTTAACCACTAAGCCATCTCTCCAGCCCCCCATACTTGTACTCCTTAAACGGAAGCTAAATCGTTAAGATGCATCCCTCTGCCTCCCCCATTCAATACAAAAATAAGACAGGGCAAGTCAGAACTGCTCACGAAGGAGCAGTCAGGCACTGACTCCAAGTAGAAGATGCTGATAGCAAAGGGGCAGGAAGAGTCCAGAGGGAATGGATGCTTACACAGTTGCGTTTCTTGCATGGGAAGACTGAGTCTGAGAGACTGCAAAGCTTCTTTTCTAACACTGCCCTCAGCACTAGTTCCCTGAGACTTCCTTAGGTTGTCATGGAAACCATCCACACCTGTAGAGGCATCAGGTCCCACTGGACTTGTTGTGGGATCAAGAGACAACTGAAGGTCTGGGATCTGCCCATTCTGACAGATGGCCACCTGGCTGGATCTATCTGGGCTTCCTTCTTCCTTAAAAACTCTGTTTACCTCAACACTGGCATCTGGAACAAGAGAGAAAGTGTGTTAGCACATTGTTTGAAAAAGTTTAAGTCATTTCCAGATATACAGCTATATGTAAGTCCCATGAGCATGGCATTTCTGTATTTTACAAGTCTGTTTTCTCTGACTCTCAGGAAAATAGCCACCATATCTATCTTAAGGCAAGGGAAGTTGGGGTAAAGCCTTATGTCTTCACCTGCAAGTTGGCCTTAACTTCTACACTATGACTGTTGTATTTAACAACACTATGACGTTTCCTTCTCACTTAAATAAGAAAAATTAAAACCAAAAGAACTTTGAAAATCTATTTTTTAAGTGTTGTTGGGAGAAGCCAAGGCTTAAAACAAAGTTGATTTTTCTAATGTGTAGATGACAGCTGGGCTAATCAGAGTCCAAGCTCACATTTTCAAGGGCTGGTTTCAAAATAAAGTCAAAATACATTCTCCAAAGAAGTAGATGATCTAATCAGATGATTCTGCTAAAATGAACAGAAATCAAATTTTGTTTTGGCTAGATGACCAAGAGTTAGGTATTATAAAAAACCAATTTCACAAACTAGGTGTGGCTGTTCGTGCCTATAACCATCTCAGCACTTAGGAAATACTCGCAGATACATCAAGAGTTTATGATCATCCTTAACTATACAGCAGGTTTGAGGAAAGGCAGGGCTCCAAGAGACCCTACCTCAAAAACATTAAAAATGTAAAACCCAAGATTACCCACAAGGGCTGCGCTCATGGCCTAAACCCAGCCTTACATAGTGCCATTACTGTGCAAAGAACTAAAACACAGTTCTTCCTCAAAAAGATAAAGAAAAAGTTCTCAAAACTAAGTCAAATTTAGACTTTCTTCTGCCTTCCCCCGGTGGGTAAACCAGGTATCAGTAAGGAGGGAGGAAGGGTCTATCCTGAGGTATTCCCAGGCTCAGTGACCTAAGATCTCATAGGCACCAATATCAATGGGTACCAAGATATATCCAGAAAGCACGCAGGAAATTCCCTATTTTCACTCAAGCCAAGTAAAAACCGGGTTGCTATTTACAAATACAAATTCCTATTAGTCACTGACATTCCTCCTTGAAAATGAAAGCTACAAGTGGAGAGTAGAGCACAGAAGTCATCAAGGCCCAAGACGTTTTGCTGTTTGACAAAGCCCACACCATCAGCTTTGCCAAAGGTCTCTATTCACTAACAGGTGCAGGGACTGTGGTCCTACACTGTCACCCTTTATTAAAGGGTGCAGGGATTCTGCATTTCAGATACAAGTTACAAGTGGTTAATACCACTTTCTAATGCATAGATTGATAGACAAAATGAATTGGGGCTGGAGAGATGGCTCAGTGGTTAAGAGCACTGACTGCACTTCCAAAGGTCCTGAGTTCAAATCCCAGCAACCACATGGTGGCTCACAACCATCTGTAATGAGATCTGATGCCCTCTTCTGGTGTGTCTGAAGACAGCTACAGTGTATTCATATATAATAAATAAAGAAAGAAAGAAAAGTAAAGTCAAGCCAAACCAAAAAAAAAAAGAATTATGAGCAGCATACTACACTTAAAATCTAAAAGCAACAAAATCCAATATGTATGAAGACTTTGTTTCCAAACACAAGCTTAAATATAAACATCATGACAAACAGAAGACAAAAATGGCTACATCCTCTTACTAGATGCTGCCTAGGTAATAGGGACTAACCTCAGGGCCTCATACCTGCCAGGTAAGCATTCTACCACTGAGCTACATTCCAGCTCTTTTTACATGTTATATACATCACTTCTTTAAACCCTCACAAATACCCAATGCATAGGTTCTATGAATCTCAATGAATGGTAGATCCAAGTGGTTACACACATTACTTCTTTTAACCCCCACAACTATCCATGATAGGCAACATAAATCTTCTAAGGACTGATCTAAGATGTTGTTCTGTGCAAGAACCCACTATCTCAGGCAAAAAAAAAAAAAAAACAGTATCTGCAAGTTAACTGCTTGAACATCATTTTATAAGACCTACAATGCAATTTCTGCTAGAGAGCCAGTAGATAATTATCTTTTTAAAGTTCATATTGCATTGCTAGCTGCTGACTGCATGGGATATTGGAATCACCTGAGTTATTACTAGTGCACCAACAACAGAGAAACATGACTCAGGAATCTTAGGCCACTAATCAGTCCCAGTTACTCAAAGTTTGGCAACCAATCAACCAAAAAGGTAGAATTCCAAGCACTAACAATAATTCACCAGTGGAAATTCAATAGAAGGCTTCTGGAAGCAGTTCTGCTTCTGGCCATGGTATATCTCCTATTCTGTTGACTATATACTGTGCTTGATCTAAAATTAGCACCAAATGAAAATATCTGTAAGACTACTAATGAAAAGTTCATGTCCCCCTCCCAAAACACTAGCTGACCTCTTCTTCTTCAGAGTGAAGTGCTAGATCATAGAATGACCTGATGACTTACCCTGAGCTGTATTCTGTTGGTCAGGCAGTTGAGCCAGAGAGCCCACAATCTCCAGTGCGGCTTCAGGGCAAGATGAAATATCACTGCTGGACTTGTTTTCCCAGAGGCCATCCTGTTTGGCTGAAGCTCCATCCATGGTCAGGACAATCCAGACTAAGAAGACTCTGAGGAGCTACAAGTAACTCTGGATTAAGTTTGCTTTTTGCCATCAGCAACAGCTCAGAGCTTCTAAGAAGAATCTTACTCTGTTTTCCATTTTTAGGTTTAATGTCTCATAAATGGCTTGAAGTCAAACCAAGCAATACCATGATTCCTGAGAGGACAAAGAGAAAAATTAATTGGGAAACTTAAGTTGTTAGATTTTAAGTAACAATTACAAGGCTCCCAATTTGTATAGAAAACAAATACAGATTTCCACCCAACAAACAATCCCTGAGCACCTGCAACATCCTAGGTTTTGAGGGAGCCCTTTCCTAAGGCATGCAGTCTCTCCTGGTGCCAGGTATAAGAAGTTCTACCACAAATGATTCTCCAAGGTTTTTAAAAAGGTGCTTGTAATCTGATGTAGTTGTCCATGTGGCAACTGAGGAACTGAACTTTAAATTTTGTTTAAGTTTAATCTGAATGTAAATAACCATTTGTGGCCAGCAGCTAATGAACTAGACGGGCCTAGATGCTCATAAAACACCAGGAATGATCATGCCCAAGGCTACGCAACTCAGATCTACAGGCGTGAAAATTAAAGAAGTGATTACTAAAGGATGAGGTAACAGTATGCTAGATGAGGATCCTGAAGGGAGATCCAAGGACAAACAGAATGGCAGCTAACTTAGAAAGTGGACAGAGAAGGCATCTCACAGCAGGTAACCATCCACCTTTCCCTATTAGTAAGACCAGTAATCACTATGGTGGATTAAGTTTAAGAAAATATAACTTCACCACGAATCTGACAATTAGTTTTAAACATTGAAGTGTGCTGATGAAATTACTAACTTTTTTCCTTATCAAATGGTCAGACTTAAATATAACCTTCCAGGCACACTGTAGGTATATTCATATCTATGTTATTTTTCAGAATAAGTTCCAAATTATTGTTTCTGTTCTGTACTTAACATGTTTCATAAACCTCACCGGGCAGTAGTGGTGCACGCCTTTAATCCCAGCACTTGGGAGGCAGAGGCAGGTGAATTTCTGAGTTCGAGGCCAGCCTGGTCTACAGAGAGAGTTCCAGGACAGCCAGGGCTACACAGAGAAACCCTGTCTCAAAACACAAAAAACAAAACAAAAAATAACATGTTTCATGACAAAATAACCTATATCCTGAGCTAAAAAGTCATACTGAAGCTGGTGTAGAGGCACATGCTGTTAATACTAGCACTCAGGAGGCAGAGTCAGGTGGATCTCAGAGTTTCAAGCCGATATCGCCTACATAGTGAATTACAAGCAAGCCTGAGCTACAAAGTTGAGACTCTGGCTCAAAAATAAAAAAGAAAAGAAACACACTGAGAAATTACAGGTAAGAAGCCTCAGAAGCCTGAGAAGATGGTGTTCACGAGAAGGTGTGATGCTGACTCAAAAGGAGGACTAGCACACTGACACCTGTCACTGCAGACACATGGCCTCTGACTCCATCTGTTCTCCGTGATTGATGATTACCTATGAAAGAAGAAACTCACCAATAATAAAGTCAGTTTAGCCTATCAACTTAGCCAATGACATATAGGTCTAGTATAGGATAAACACAAAAGGAATGCAGCCAAAGAATCCCAGAGATAATGTGCCTTAGATGCAGTGGCAATGCCCGTAACTTAGACTGTTATTAGACAAACAGCCAAGAATATTCAAGTTCCACTGATTTAAATTTGATGACAAATACATCAGGTTATCACAAGCTAGAGACCACCACATACTGCCTCTTATTTCCCCTTACTCTGAGTTTGTGCCGAGCAAGACATGTGACTCCTAAGCAGTCCTTCCTCCTTTCAGAGATGGATGGAATGGTACAGCCCTCCAGAACAGAGAACCACCTAACTATAACTGACTCTGGCTAATTCACTCAGATGGCTCCTGTTCACAATCAGCTAGTTCCTCCTGAAGTAAATCTACAGATCAATTTCTGGACTGTGCCAGGAGTTAGGCTCAGAAGGCTTCCATCTTCTGTGCCTGAAGGGCAGTAAACTGGCATTTACTGTCTAACCTCAGTCTTCTTTGAACTTGGGTATGCATGATTCAGTCATACAGGGTCTCATTAACTCAGACTGCTGACAAGGGCAAATCTCTAGACACCAAGGAAGATGAGACAGCTGGGGTGTGGGTGGGGACACACAGACAGACGGACACACAGACACACCCACCCTGTTTTTGGTACATACTACATTTGTAATTTTTTTTCTTTAATCAAAGAGGTCATATAGTTCTTTTTCTTTTGTTTAGTCAATTTGGCTCTTTTTGTGCATACGTATTTGCATATATTTACGTGCCATTTATCTTGTTTTTTATTCAGTATCTCTCACTGATCTAGAATTCATCACTAGGAATAGGCTGGCTGGCCAGTAAGCTCCAGAGGTCTGACTGTTTCCACCTCCCCAGTGTTGGAATCACAAGTGTACACTACCATGCCCAGCTTTCTTACATGAGCTTTGGCAAATGATCAAAATCAAGTCCTCATGTTTGTGCGGCAAGCACTTTACTGACTGAGATATCTCAGCCAGCTCAATTTGTTTGTTTTGGGTTTGGAATTTTTTTAGACAAAGGCTCAATATATGGCCCAGGATAGTCTCCAACTCATGGAAATTCTCCTGCTTCCACCTTCTGAATACTAGGCTGACAGTCAGGTACTACTATAAGTAGTTTATAGTTTCATTTTTAACCATTTGTACTCCCATTTCTAGATGGCAGAACAAAGCTATCACTGAGAAATTCCCAAGATATATCTAACTTTAGCAGTTTGCCCAAATTTCACATTGAGAGACTACTATCTCAGGTCAACAGGTTTCCAGCTTTCCCAGCAGTTCATAAACATGATCCACAAACAACAACTACTCCATTACTGGGGTTGTCATCAACTAGACAAGATGCATAGGCAAAGATAAAACAGGACTTTCTGAAGATGTCTAGTTGATGCTGTACTATTGAACAATAGCAAATAGCATTCTATATAGGTAAAAACCAAAGGCCAGCCTCAGGTACAGAAAGGACATAAGTGACAGGTTGTGAGTTAAACATGTTTGCCTCAAATCCTGTTTTTCCATTTGGCTGTAAGATCTTGGTAGGCAGATTTCTGAGCCAGTCTTAGCTTATTACCTCATCAATAAAAACACAGAGAAAATGAATACAAAATTTTTGCTAGGATTGACTACAGTAAGATATAGGATCTGTTCATGCCTCCACTAAGCAAGTGTAATTATTTCTCCTTTCAACAGCTATTCAAAATTAATGGTAAAAGCCAAAATGCAGTTATATTCTCATTTGAGAAAATAACACTACTTAAAGCAACTGGCAAAAAAAACCAGCTCATTTTAAATCTGAGTAACTTTCACTTCTTCTGTTTGTTTTCTTTTCTGAGAAATAGGGAGGAAACAAGATTTTCCAAATTGTGTCTGTGTTCATACACACAGGTGTGTGGAGGTCAGAGGACAACTGAAGAGTGGGTTCTTTCCTTCCACCACAGGGCTTCCAGGGAACTCAGGTTATCCGACTATAACATTTAACCACTGAGAAGTCTTTCCGATCTGCTTTTGGATTTTTAGGCAGAATCTTGCTATGTAGCCTGGGCCTCAAACTGGTTGAGGTCTTCCTGTCTTGACTTCCCAAGAGCTGGTATTACAGATACGTGCCACCTTATCCAGCTTTTCTCTTTTCCTTCCATTCAAGGTACACTGCATCTGAGTCATTAAAGAATTATAAAAGTTAAAGTCAGGAGGCATCTGTAAATGGTTTACAATGTCCTGCTGACAATAAAGTACAAACCTCTTAGCCTAAACTGGAGATCACTTTAATGGGACTCTTACTTATGTCTGTATCCCTCACATGCTGTGTCTTTTTTTCATTATCTGGCTATATTATGCATACAGTAGTACAACTGACTCTCCATAGGGTCTCTACACTTCTTGTTCACTTTTCTTGAGACATTCCTCTCAATAATTCTGCACAGACGCTTCTTGTCATGGAGCCCTGCCTTGACTCAAAAGTAAACTCTTTCGAAGGCTGCACAAAGCTAATCCTCACTGTTTTGAGTTGTCAGTATTCCTCCACCATAAAGTGATGAAAACAGAGACTACAACACTACTGTATCCTGGGACCTTTTACAAACAGGGCCTCTCTTTCTATAAACATTCAGTAAGCGCCAGTGGAAAGGTTGTAAGCTGTTCGCCTAGCTCTCTCTGGTCACTGACTCCACTGACCATGTTCAGCAGGGCTGTGAAACACCTCTGAGAACCAGAATCAAAACTCTGTAAGTCCCTCACGCATTGAACGACTTGCCACCATGTCACGTTCGTCATCAACTGCAAAAGGAGCAGACTTCAAACACGCTGACCCAACCAAGCAGCAGTAGCAAACGCTCAGGGCCGACCGCATCCCGTGAGGTGCAGAGGAAGCCTCTGATTTACCAACCCCGTACTGACACCAGCTGCGAGGCAGGGTTCCAGACCCACAGAGTAAAATGAAAAGCTGCCTTGAGCTGACCGCCGCTGACCCAAAGTCTGCGCGACCCTCACCGGACTCTGCATCCGCCTTGCCCCTCGTACGCCTCTCCGGGCGCGGCCAGGGTTGCCCCAGCAGTTCCTCCACGGTCCTCTACCACAAGGTCCCGACACTCCTCAGTACTAGCCCCACAACCCTCACCCGTTACGGCCCAACCCTGCGGCTCCGGTAGGACGTGGCTGTGCAAGGGGCGGGGCGCAACAGGGCACCAGTCTCGGGCAACCCCCCCGGAAACAAACTGTCCTCGAGGTCTTCGTTCCGGAAGAGAGACTGTCCTCTGCGGCCAGTAGCCACTTTCGAATTAGGGTTAGTATGGATCTCCGGACAGAACTGAGGTATCCTTCAGAATGTGGCCTTAAAATTTTGTATGCCTTCCTTTTAGAGAAACAACTTCCAGCCTAAAGGACCAAATCAGACCGAAAAAAAAAAAACCTTCCGGCGGTAGTGACGTAACCAGGACTCACCACGCTCCCGCCCCTCGCGGCCTTCTGACTGGTGGGTATGATGATCCACGTGGTCACGCCCTCTGGGGCGTGGCTTTCCCGCCAGACACCGCCCCCACCACGGTACTGGCAGCTTGTTCCGAAGTGTTTGGAAGCCCTGTTTGTATTACGCCAGTGTTATCCACGGCCTGACGCTGTGCCACGCGACTGCATTACCAATACAAGGAAGTCTAACAAGTATCACAAGCTCGAGGACTGACTGGACTATAAAGTGGGACTTGTCTTAAAAAGTAAAAAGATGTCTGCAATGTAGTTCAGAACTCTTGGGTTCAGTCTCTAGTATGTGAAGAGATCGGAAAAGAGAGGAAGTTCTCGCAACAAACAATATACTATATTAAACTGATCCCACAGCTACATGGGAAAAATGGCAAGTCTACATTTTTTTTTCAGTGCTAGAGACTGTATCCTGGGCCTTGAAAGTGTCTAGCAACCTCCCCACCTCCAAGCTGCATTTCTAACCCCCAATAAAAATTACCATAGTTTTACTAAGGTATAATTTACATACTGTAGAATTTACTCTTGTGTACAATTTGAATAAATTTGCAGCTGTACACCCATTTCTATAATCCAGCTTTAAGGGCACTTTCATTGGACTAGCTCTTCTCACCCCCTTCTTTCAGCCCCTGGTGACCACTGCTCTGTTTCTGAATGTCCATGCCTGTACATTTCATAACAATAAGATTCATATATCATATAGCTTTGAGTTCTTTCTCAAATTGTATCCATGTTGTACATCTTTTAGTGCTTCATTCTCATTGCTGAATTATATTCTATTGTTTGGATATTTCTTTTGTTTCTGTTCATCAGTCAATGAACAAATCTGAAGGGTCTTGAGGTAGACAAAAGGACTGACAGGGTCCCAGCTTTATATGTCCATGGGGGTAATGGGGGAAACTGCTGTGTCTACTGAGGACTGTTGGGTGCCAAGGACTTTGCCAGATGCTGTCTAATATCCCTGCTTTCAGAAAACTTACTTCTTGAAGATCATATAAAGGTGGAAGGAATGAACCAACTCTACAAGTTGGCCTCTAATCTCAACATGTGCACCATGATACACTCACCACATGTTTACACATATCGTGCACACACACGCGATAATAATTTTAAAACATTTTTAGAGACCTCTCATCAATCTCAGCCAGTTCCTAAACAAAACCTATCTGTGGAAATCTGCTTCAAATTTGCCTGAGAGGGTAGTGATCACGTGAAGATCTAGGAGAGTGTTAAATATGAGTAGCATGAGGAGGGGAGGTCAGTGTGAGGCTAGGGAATGGCCACAGAGGATCTGTGGCAATGGGAAGGCAGAACTTTCAGAGATGGCAAAGGCAACAGTAACCAGAAGTAAGTAATGGCCCAGGCAGGAACTCTGGCTATGGGAACAGCTCATTCTTCTCATGTAGAATGCAGTTGCTCTTCGAGAGAGATGAAAGATGATGCCTGGGTTTTGACCCGAGTCACAAGGTCATATTTTCTGAGATGCTGAAGACCATGAAGGCAGGCTTTCATGGTATGTGTGGGTGGTGTGACAGCATCTACTCTAGTTTAAAGAGAATTTGAGATGTCAGAAAGACAAGTAACACACTATCCAGTCACAGGCATAAGGCTATTACATACTCCAGGGAGCTCAGAGAGCATCGACTCTCTCAGAGTCTATTACACTCAGAAATAAGACTGGGGGGTGGGGTGGGTGGGGAATCTTTTGTGCAATGTATGGAAGCTTCACCTGTCAATAAAAGGTTATGAGCTTAGGCAAGAAATAGGGAGGTGGAAGTTCCTGAAGAGAGGATTCTGGAATCTGAGGCTTGGGAGAGATTTGGCTGGAACTCTTGTCTCATGAACCCTGAGGAAAGATAACAAGCCATGTGGCAGGACTTAGAATAGCACAAATGGGTTATTGACTTATGAGCTAGGTGGGGAATGGGCCTAAGCTTTGGGCCTAAGGATTTATTCATATATACTTCAGCCTCAGTTGTGATTTTGGGGAACTTGAGCACAGGTGAAAAGGCCCGTGGTTACAGTAGACTAGGAAGAGTTTCAAGGCAAGTGTTTATTCTCTTTGGTTTTAATATAAGTTATGGGGCTCTATGTTATATGATGTTTAAACTAATGTGTTTAATGGAACTTGTGATCAGGAGGCAGTTCTGCTATAGATCACCTGAGCTTACTTCATGTGGCTAACTATATCTGGTGAGTTTGTGAGACTGGCCTCTCCTACTTTATGGGCCTCTGTTCTCATTTCTTGAGGAGAAACCCAGCCCATTTATACAGCCCTGAGAGTGTATAAACATTAACTGGTGTGCATACAAAACTTGAGGGGAGGCAGAGAAAAGGCCAAGCCAGAGAACCCACAGGAACAATGCTGGGTTCCTCTTTCATGCCACACTTGAAGTTGGCTCCACACTGGACTTTTGTGATCTTTTTACTAAGTTTCAGTTTCCTACTTCTGAGCTTCAGCTGCCAAGTGTCTAGGTCTGTTACCCAGGCCTCACTACAGCTATGTAAGGCCATCCTGGCTTGCTATCACTCTCTTAGGCTACCAGACCAATGCAGGGTAAGATGTCACCAGGGTCCCCTCAATTGGCAGAAACCCACTTTGAACTCCAGCTACACCTTTGGGTTAGCTGTGTCTTTGATACAAACACAGTTCCAGGGTAGGGAAGCCTGCTGGAATCCTGGTCTGACCATCCCACCACCCCTTACCTACAGTATAAAGTAATCAAGATGAGTAAGCCTGAAGTTTTAATCAGCTTTTTGTAATTGGAACTAGGGGCTCCTTTGTTTTAAGCCAGTTTGTTCAGTTGGAATTGGGAATCTGGCCTAATGAAGTTGTGCTGGGGGCAGCCTGGTTCCTTTAGCACCCCTATGACCCTTTTCTGGCTTGTGCTTAGAACCCTGCATGGCAGGAAGGGTTTCTTCTGATAGGACAAGGAACGATAGATACAACAAGGCAAGGCAGAGATGTAGTTCAAGCTGACCAGAAATTCAGACAGAGTTAACAAGGAATATGGAGTGCCTCTTGCTGCACCAGGAATCACGAAGTGGATATCTGCAGGCCCCACTCTGTGTATGTTCCAAGGCTAGGTTCAAGAGCTACAGAGAAAACAGTCTGTGTCAATTCTATGAGGAAACCTGAATACCCTATAGGTGATAACAGGCAGCATGACAACTCCAGATTATTGGGTTTTTTTTTTTGGGTGGAGTGGTTCAACTTGATTGGATTTAAGGTTACCTAGGAAACACTAGGAAACACAACTCTGGGTGTCTGTGAGGTTGTTTTCAGAAAGGTTTAACCGAGGAGCACAACCTTGCGTGTAGGCTATACCATCCCATGGGCTGGGTCCTCAACATGAACACAGTACAGAAAGCTGAGCACCAGCATTCACTTCTCTCTGCTTTCTGACTGCAGATTCGATGCGACAAGCTACTTCACATGCCATCAACATGCCTTTCCCAGTACAATGGGACTATACTTTCAAACTAGGAACCAAAATAAGCCCTTCCTTATTTCACATACCATCAAGAAAAGTAATTAATATAGAATCTAGAGAAAGGAAGTTCAGATGATTATAAAGACACTGCCCGAGTCCCACAAGCCTGCCTCTTTAAGCAACTCACTCAAATTATACTCAGGAATGCTCACCAAGGCCCAAAGTCCTCATGCTACAGCCTGATATGCAGGGATTGTTCTCTCTGTCTGTGTTTATCAGAAACTCTGTGGAGTCCCTTCGGCCTCTCTGAAGTGATTCTTAGACATTATGCGTTCTTAAAGAACTGAGGATTAAGTGATTCCCAAGGAGCTTGATGCCTTGGTGCTGATGCCCCAGCTTCTTCCCTTTGGAATAGGATCCTGTAGACCTGCGTACAGGGGCCAGGGATTAAATACCAAGCACCGGAGCTTAAGGGGCAGATAACACATTCAGCACTGCCCAGGTCTGAAAACAAAGATACTATCTTATACTATGTTCAGAGACACTCAGGTTTTGAGCTCAAACATCCAGTTGGCTCACCTTTTGACATTATCTGCTGGTGAAGCCACCAGATTGACTAGCAGGCAATAAAGTAAATATTAAGAGTAGTGAACAATTAGTGTAGTGAAGAATTAGTGGTGCCTGTCTGCATTAGCATGGAGCATGTGGCACTGCACATATGAATACGACACAAGAAGAGAAACAAACACAGCTCATTTATTAGAATCAAAAAAAGAGAACCATCTCCCACAAACACAGAGTACTGCCTCTCAGTCTACATCAAGAGCAAGACAACAGTTGAAAATTGTATTCCTGAGAAGCAAAAAGTTACCAGTTTGCAAACAAATATAACAGGTGATCTCAAGAAAAGATTACAAAAAAAACCTAAAAACAAAATTTCAAGTATTATTCCAGATGACATGGCAAACCTAATGTACCAGATCAGGGCTTGGGAAGCAAAGGCCCTGTCAGCCTGGAGCCATCTGGAGTTTCAGCAGGGAGCTGCTCTCAGGAACTGGAGGGCTAAGGGCAGAGGCTAAGGGCCTGGCCTGCTGGACAAGAGACACTGGCCAGCCCTGTGTCAAGGACCTGGATACTCGAGACATCCTCCCCAGGATTAGCAGTTTTGGACATTTGATAATTTTTTTTAAATAAACAGAAACATATGCTCATTCTTCCAAATACCAGGCTATCCCTAATTTTAGTCAATTTGTAAATTATAAATTATAGTATTTGTGCTACAGTTTTTAATATTTAAATCTTATTAGAAGATAAGCACCAAACTTATTAAAATAAAAAATATACAAAAGGCTGTGTCTTTCCAGACAGAAGACTATCCTATATATCCCTGGAGGCTGTAAACTTATGCTTCCTTTCCTTCTGGAGAATGCTTCTGACATATCTGACAGCTTTTCCCACGAACTTTTCCATTTTAACTGTAGTCAAGGTACAAGGTAGAAAAGATACAAAAGTATAAACCTGCACTGTCACTGCCTCATCACACAGGAGGGGAGAGCTGCCTAGTGGCAGGGAGGTCTCAGTCTACTGATCCTCTTGCACTGACTAGAAGGCCATTGTGGCCAGTAGGCCTCCCAGGTTACCAGAGGATTTGGTATGTGTATCACCGAGGATAAAGTTCTACAAAGGGAAAAGCTACACCAGAGTGCCTGACCAGAAACCCCAGCGCTGCTTAGGGAAAACCGTAAAAATGCCCTTAAAGTGTTTGAAAGGGGTATTTTAAAAAACACAGTATCATTGCCTCCTGTGCTCTGTAACTGTTTCATGGGTCTCCTCCAATATTCAGTTCTTGAACCTTGTTTGCTCACAGATGTGATTGAATTTCCTGCAGAGAAAACATCAAAGACTATTCAAACTGTGAAACTGCACACTGTAATTGACACATAAGAACATGTGTGAATCATGTGAACCCACTCAACAATTTTTATGCTTAAAAAAAAAAGATTGTGGTTTTTTTTTTAATTTTTAAATTGATGTGCATTTATATGTGTCTGTATGAGTATATGCCATGTGTGTAGAGATGACCATGGTGGCCAGAAGAGGGAATCAAATCCCCTGGAGCTGGAATTATAGATGGTTGTATGCTATTTTACATGGGTACTGGGAGCCAAACTAAGTTGTCTGGAATAACGGGAAGTGCTTTTAGCCACTGTGTCATCTCTCCAGCTCCACTAAGTATTTCTTTTTTTTTCCTCTTTTTAAATTTTAAAATAGCCAGGCGGTGGTGGCACACGACTTTAATCCCAGCACTTGGGAGGCAGAGGCAGGTGGATTTCTGAGTTCAAGGCCAGCCTGGTCTACAGAGTGAGTTTCAGGACAGCCAGGGCTACACAGAGAAACCCTGTCTCGAAAAAACAACAACAAAAAAAATTAAAATTAAAATACTATTCGGGAACTCACTCTGTAGACCAGGCTGGCCTTGAATTCACATAGATTTACCTTTGCCACCTGAGTGCTAGGATTAAAGGTGTGTGCCACCACTGCCAGATTATAGCATGCACTCTTAAATGCTGAGCCATCTCTACAACCTAAAATTTCCTTTCTTGAAACAGACGGTGTCTGCTGTTCATGCTAAAGCACAATGCAAAGTTTTATGCCACAAAACTACTCATTAAGAACTCATTCTAGAGCTGGATGTGGTGATGCATGCCTTTAATCCCAGCACTTGAAGTCAGAGGCAAGTAGATCTCTGTGAGTTTGAGGCCAGCCTGGTCTACAAAGTGAGTCCAGGACAGCCAGGGCTATACAGAGAAACCCTGTCTCAAAAAAACAAAACAACAATATCTCCCCCCCCCCCAAAAAAAAAACCAGTCAACTCTATCTCTATTCTTGTTTCTTATACTGTGGGCAACAGCTCCAATGCCTTAATCTGAACCAAAAATTAAGTACTAGCCAATGGATTGACTGGTAGAGGACCATGGCACTGTTTTAAAAACAGGAGCAGAAAGATTGGTGCTGCACACTGACTCTGACTTCCTAAGGCAATGCACATGTTACTGTGAACAGAACTTGAAGACTATGTTGAAGACACCATGGTGGGGGTTGTAATGGCTCGAATCTGCTTGACCCAGGGAGTGGCACTATTAGGAGGTGAGGCCTTCCTGGAGGAAGTTTGTCATTGTGGACGTGGGCTTTAAGACCCTCATCCTAGCTCCCTGGAAGTAAGTCTTCTCCTAGCAGCCTTCAGATGAAGATGTAGAACTCTCAGCTCCTCCTGCACCATGCCTGCCTGGATCCTGCCATGTTCCCGACTTGATGATAATGGACTGAACCTCTGAACCTGTAAGCCAATCCCAATTAAATGTTGCCTTGGTCGTAGCATGTGTTCATAGCAGTAAAACCCTAACAAAGAAAGGAGGCGTTAAGTTACAACACAACCTCCACACACACAATAGGAAGAAAAACCCAGGTGTTACTCTATCACACAAATAGGGCCAGTAACTTGGGAGACATGTGCTTAGACCACAGCTGTTGGCCCAGAGAGAGCTAGCACTAGAATCTGCCTGTCGGCTCTAGAAGCTGTCAGGCAAGGCACAATGTGACTCATCCATGAAGACACAGATAAAAGATGGAGGACACTTGCAGAGAAGCCATTTAGGAAACACAGTAATGAGAGCACAATTTCTATTTGAAAACACTATTTTACATACTGCATGATTTTATAGAAGTATTGGGATTAAATTAGCATACATATGTGTATTTGGGGGATGGAGTAGGATTCTGGGAACTGAAGACATAACTTTACACTCTACTACTGAAGTACACCTAAAGTCCCCAAATTAGTGCATTTTTTTAGCAATAATTTATATTACTGTTGTCTTCCCAAGCTCTGAGCCCGAAAGACGTGCAGTTGACCCAAATGTTCCCTACTCACATTGCATGGTGAGCCTTCACCTGAGTGCGACAGTTACGGCCCCAGTAGCAATCAGGACGGGATGTTACGGTCACTGGAAAAGAGAAGGACATGTCTACATTACATGTATCATGTATCTCATATGTAGCTAAATGAATTTAACTGGACATACAAGGAAACTCAGCACAAAGCATCTTTGTCACTCGGTGTGTGTGTATGTTCATATAGGTGCAAGCCTGTGGGTACAAATGTATGTGTAGAAGTCAATGTTGGGCATCATCTACTTTGAATTTTTTTTTGGGGGGGTTGGGGGGGATAAGGTCTTTCACTAGCCTGGGACTTGCCAATTAGGCTAAGCTAGGGATCTTCTTGTTTGTGCCTCCCTAGTTCTGGAGTTATAAGTATGAAATGCTACACCTGGCTTCTGGCAGCTGCTGCTGCTTCTGTGAACTTGCTCTATAGAGCCAGCCAGCCTTGAACTCAGAGGTCCACCTGCCTATACCTCCCAAGTACTGGGATTAAAGGTATGTGCCAGCCACCTTCTTTGTTTTTAAAACAGGCTTATTTATTTTATGTGTACTAATGCTTTGCCTACATGTACATAAGTACACTGTGTATGTGCTTGGTGACCATGAAGGCCAGAAAAAGGTGCCAGATAAGCTGCCACATTGGCTTGTTGAACTGAACCTGGGCCCTCTGTAAGACCCACATAACCATAACCACCTCCTCCTCTCTCTCTTTTTTTTTTTTTTTTTTTTTTTAAGGGGTATGGGTTTTTTTGTGTAGTTCTGTCTGTCCTGAAACTCACTGTGTAGACCCTAAACTTCAGAAATCTGCCTGCCTCTGCCTCCCAAGTGCTGGGATTAAAGGTGTGCGCCACCACTGCCCAGCTGCTTTCTTCTTTTTTTTAGTAAAACATGAGGACTGAACTGGGTCTTCACACCAGCACAGCAAGCCCTTTACTAAGCTCACATGCTAGCTTACATCTTATCTCTCCTTATGATCAGTTTTCATAGACCATGCCAAGATTGCCAGACAAGAAAAACAAATCTATCTGAAAACCAAGTGAAAGAAACGTATTGCTCCAGTAATGTCTGTCTGATGTCTTTATGTATCTTGACCAAGTCTGAAAAGCAAATGCAACCTCAGCCATCCTATGTGCCTGTCTTCTGCCTACAACTTCTGCTAAGTATAGAGTATAATGCCATACTAAGTGTCTGTTAGAATTGACTAGTGACACCAATACAGACAGAAATGGTTTGTGGGCTCCTTACCTGGCAACTCAGAAGCAGGAATGTTCTGACGATACTGGTAGGTCAGCTCTCGGAAGCTACGCAGACCACAGCAGTAACATAGCACAGTATTTCCAGTGATTCTGTAATCTGGGGGAACATAGCTATATCTGGACACAGCCATTTATCAAGCAATATCATTTTCTAACACCAAAATAGACACAATACAAACTAGTAGGAAACTAACACACTAATCCAATAGATTAGACATTTGGAAAATAATCCCAAAACCAATCTAAATGCCAATTTAGCTGGATTTTTTAAAGATTTATTTGTATTTTATCAGTGTTTATGTACATGAATGTCTGTGCATCATATGTGTGCAGTACCTGCAAAAATCAGAAGAGGCACTGGATCCTCTGGAACCAGAGTTACAGAGCCACCATGTATGTTCTGGGAACCCTGGTCCTCTATAAGAGCAACAAATGTTCATAGCTACTAAACCATCTCTCCAGCTCCATTAGTTTAGTTTTTAATAGTAAAATAATCATCTATGGATTAAAATTTTTAAATATTTAAAGCCCCCCCCAAAAGTTTTAAGATTGGAGAGAGTATTTTCTCTTGTGCTAAAGTTAATTAAATTGTAATTCCTTATCTGAAACACATGGGTCAGAGATATTTAATATGGTTAATTATTCCTTATCTAGATCATGTAGGTCAAAGGTATTCTGGCTTAGACTGATTTTTCAGATTTGGACATATTTGTGTATATGTTCTCAAGGATTAAAATAAATTATGTGTTTTGCCTGTATGTATACCACATGTGTAGTTAGTACTTGCAGAAGTCAGAAGGCACTGAATTCCACGGAAATGGAATTATGGATAGCTGTAAACTATTATGTGGGTTTGGGGAACCAAATTTGGATCCTATGTAAGAGCAGTCAGTACTCTTAACTGCTGGGTCATCTCTCCAGCTTCCCTACATGTTTTTTTGAGATAGGACCAGGCTGATATTGAACTCAGATAGATCTACCTGACTCTTGTTTCCCCAGTACTGAAATTAAGGGTGTGTGGCACCATCCCTGGTGATTTCTGTATATGTAATGAGAACTGGAGGACCCAATTCTCACCACAGAATCATTTAGATTTTCTGCACATCTCATACATATTACCTGAGGGTGATTTGACACAGTGACGCATCACCACAGGTCTGGTATAGACAGAATCTTTCTTGTGGTGTCATGTCTTTGGCAGTGTTACAGTGTTGAAGGCATTTTCAAATGTGGGATGCTAAACCTCCATGTGCTCAGAGTAAAATCACATACAAGAAATGACTTGTAAATATGACTACCTGCAATTTAAAATCTGAAATTGATATTAAAAAAAATATAAACTGTGAAGTAGTAACGCTACAGTAAGAACCTATCTATAACACAAAGGGGCAGTACTACATACTTTTACAAAGATAGTATGTCAATGCGGCCAAAGGACCCACACACACACCAGCACCAAAGAGCATTCGTAAAGTCCAGGGTCATAAATAAGCAGATATAGATGCAAAAAGGCCTTCAATTTTGTTAATGCACAAGGCATTCAAACAGTAAGTCACTGTCAGTTTCTCTCATATTCACAAAATTAAATGCCAAATGCAAAGCTAAAAGGCAGGCAATGCCTCAGACATGAAGGGGAACCTGCACAAACTTGGGAAGGTTGTGTGTTCCAGCAAAGACTCAGCTGAGCATACCAGTCATAAAAAAAAAAAAGAATCCCCACTACTTACTCTAAAATGAAAACTTCTAGGTGTACAGCATTGCAAGCTCAACAGCTGTGGCATAAATGTAGTGGAAAACGAGAAAGCAATACCATTTAACAAAGTAGGTAAGTAACGTTATGAGAAGAGACTTCAGTGGAGAGCTGGCAGCATAGCTGAGTTGGTACAATGCCTGCTTAAGGCCCCGGGTCTGACCTTAACACTTTGTAAAACTGAAGTAGTAAAATAGGCTGGCTTCTGCCAGCACTTGGGAGGTGAAAATTAGAAGTTCAAAGTCAGCTCTGGTTGTACAGTAAGTCTGAGTCTAGTCAGGCTCATGATCATTTTCTCTAAGCCTGTCCCTTTCCACGACTCTCTGTGTAATAATAAAAAACCAAGGCAAGGCTGGGGATTTAGTTCAGCAGTAGAGTATACACAAGTACCCTGACCAGTTTCCAGCACCTCAAAAACAATGCCTGGAGTTTTTTGGCTGAAGGGAGTGAGTGATACATGCTGAGCAAACACAGTGCCTTTAGTAACAGGACACCATCTGCAATGTCACCTGAAAATGGGGTTACATTTCTGAAGAGCTTGGATGCACATGAAAACGCTATTTCCACATTTGTTTTATTCTTTGTTTATCATTTCCAATGCTTGGGACAAAACCCAGGGAGGGCCTCACAAATGCTAGGTAAGCAGTGTGTATGTAAGCACTAACCCAGGCCACTCAGCCAGTGGCTTAGCTGTGGGATTTCAAGTGAGTTTTACTTTATCCTATGTTCTTCCAAAAGATTACTTGTATTTCCCTTTTTGGTTTTTTGAGACAGGGTCTCTCTGCAAAGCCCTAGCTATGTAGACTAGGCTGGCCATCTGACCTCAAACTCACAGAGATCTTCCTGCTTCTGACTCTTGAGTGCAGGGATTATAGGTGTGCACTACCATGTCCAGACTTTTCTCCCCCACCCCCTTTCTTTCTTTTATGTGAGTTCACTGTAGCTGTCTTCAGACACACCAGAAGAGGGCATCAGTTCCCATTGTAGATGGTTGTGAGCCACCATGTGGTTGCTGGGAGTTGACCTCAGAACCTCTGGAAGAGCAGTCATTGCTCTTAACCAATGTCCCATCTCTCCAGCATCCAGCCTTTTCTCTTTCTCTCTCTCTCTCTCTCTCTCTCTCTCTCTCTCTCTCTTCTTTCATTCTTTCTTTTTCTTTTTTAAGTATTTATTTTATTTATAGTTGTGCCAGAGTATATACCCATGGAGGCCAGAAGAGGACGCCAGATCCCTGCAGCTGGACTGACAGGTGGCTGTGTACCAATAAGTGGGTGCTGGATTTTGTCTGAGTGTACTGGAAGAACAGGAAGCCACTCATATTTTCTGTATGAGCTACTCTTATTACAATACAAAATCAAGAAATCAAAGGTGCTCACAGAAGTTGTATGGGCTGCCAACCACAGACAAAACACACCAGACCATAATCACCAGAAAGAAATAGCTCAAGAGATTTTAAGCAAATTACTCACATTTCTATTAATAAACATTTAAGTCTTAGAAAAAAAAAACTGCTACAATTTCTATAGCCTCCCACACTATGTACTCCTCAGGAAGAAAGCACAGTACCCAACTTTATCTGCCAACTCAGTGCCAACAAGTGACAAAGTTGTGGAGGCTCCCTTAGCCACGCCCCCTTGGCCACGATCCCATCCTTTCCTAATAGGGAGAGAAGGTGCTAGAATAGATATACAGGCTTCAAGTGCACCAAGGTTTTTTGTTTTGTTTTTTTTTTTAAAAAAAAAAAAAAACCAACAAGTTTTTAAAACATCAAAAGTGATTAGGCATGGGCTGGAGAGATGGCTCAGCAGTTAAGAGCACTGACTGCTCTTTCAGTGGACCTGAGTTCAATTCTCAGCAACCACATGGTGGCTCACAACCCTCTGTAATGGGATCTGATGTCCTCTTCTGGTGTGTCTGAGGATGGCAACAGTGTACTCATATGCATAAAATAAATAAATTTTTTTTTAAAAAGCGATTGACAGGTATGGCAGCTCACATCTGTCATCCCAGCACTAGTGAGGAAGACAGGAGGATCAGGAGTTCAGGGACAGCCTAGGCTACACTGTGGGACTCTGTCAAAACAAAACAGTATCTAGACCCTCCTCTATCTTCTTAGGAAGGGTCAGAGTCAAAGACATATATCTATAGTAATACAGACAGGTAATACTGCCAAGTGTGGCCTGCCAAGATCTTACCACTTTATAAGAAACTAAGACACCCTTAAAAACTCATGCCCATTCTGGAGGACAGAGCTAGCTAAACATTGCTTACCAGACAGTATAAATACACCCCGCTGTAGAGCCAGGAGACTCTCGGTCAACATATTTTTCCATGTCAGACCCCTGGTTGCCAGGTAATTCTGTGATAGGAAAAAGGTTGAAAAGAAATTCCAGTTTAGATGAATCACTCAACTAGTAAGGGGGATACTTCATAAAAGGCTGGGAATGTAGACAAAGCCAGAACACAGCTGTCCTTGAATGGCATTTTCACAGAGCCAGTGGATAAACTACAGTCAGTTCCCTCATAGGTTTCACAAGCTCTCTGCCAAGAGGCTCTTTTGCTTCTGGACCTGAAGAAGAGTCACGATTCTCTCAAAAAATTCCACAAAGGCCTTCACAGCACAAGAACAGATAAGACACTGAAGGGGAGAAGGAAAATAGCAAGCTTTAACATTAAATACTATTAAAAAGGTCAGAGAAATAAGAAAACAGACTGTTAGTCACAGTGTTGCTTCTAACATTCTTCAAATCAAATCATTAAATTGCCAACATCTGCTTTTTGTAAACAACCTACCAGATCCCCCTTCCCTGATTTTCTGAAGAGGCAGATGTGCCTTTGGGAAGGGACAATCTCCAATGTCTGCTTAGATCCTACTTGGCCTCTATAAGCCACGGATGACTTTGGTAGAACCTAATCTCCTTGAATAGAAGCTAGCACACCCCAAGGAGAATTTCTCCTTTTTATCTCTGAGGACTATTAAGTTTCTCCCTTCTATACTCGCCCTCCAACCTCCTCACCAAGGGTGACAAGTATAGCTGAATGCTAGGCCCTTGTTTTCCCTGACACTGTTCAAGGCTGTTACTAAAAGGTGTTTTAATATCTGGTGATGTGTTCAAGTAAATAAATGGTCTCAAAGGGAAGCAAAGTTCTCAACACGAGCACAGAGGGTGCAGAACTGAATATATTACAATTCTAAGACCTGCGCTAGCTTCCTCAAACACGGGAAGAAAATATTCAGAAAAAGGAGCCAGAGCAAGCCAGGATTTAGAAACCCTTTCTCTAAGATTTATTAGCCAATTGCTACAGTCTGACAGCACAATGAACAGACAGGGATTTCCTCGTTTTGGAACATGTGGAAAACTTGATATATTAGAATCATGGAACTAACTGATTGTACTGGTCAGAAAATACAGTGTGTGTTTTTGACAGTGTACATTTTCAGGCAAATGCTAAAGAGAAAATGTGTGTCATAACAGAAACCACAAAAGTTATAGGAAAGCTTCTCTGTTTTCACTGATTCCCCAGGACAAGTATGGAGGTGATACCTTCAGGATATCCGATTCATAATTGTTATTGTTCAGCACTCCATCCAAGCACTTGTCCCCCAGGTTGAGCTCTGCCAGAGGAAGGAAGAATATTATCTGTTTTATTAGGATTCCATGTATCTTATCAAACTATTGTTTGCCTGACAGAATAACCAAATCTCTTTCCATCAAAGATTATAAAAAGCTAACAAGGTAAGGAAATGGCTGAGTCAGTAAAATGCCTGCCACACAAGCATGCAGACCTGAGTTTCAATCCCCTGTATAAATACAGAAAAGGAAAGAAAAACCAAGCCAAGTGTAGCAGGGCATGTCTGTAACACTAGCATTGGTAGAGGGAAGAGACAAGTGGATCCCTGGAGATTGCTGACCCAACTAGTCCTAGCCAAGTGGTGAGCATTAGGGTTCACTGAAAGACTGTCTCAAAATAAGGATGATGAAATATAATAAACAGAGTTAATGCCCAACTAGACATCATATACTACCAAAAGCTCCAGTACCAGGAATAGGTTACATCTCTTTTAGTCATTAGCTAAAGGAGTTCCATAGACCACTCCCAGACAGTACAGGTTATTGCCAATATTACAGGTTATCTTCCACAATCTGAGGTAAGACCCTATTGCTGAAATTGTCACATACTTATGTCACTAAACATGGAAAAATTAAGCTGGTACTCAACCAGACACTTCGCCCCTACTAACTAGCATTCCAAGTGCTCAAATGCTACCGGAGGCAGAAAGTAATCAACAGCCTCACCCAGCTAAGAACCCTGTGTGCTATAATAGTGACCTATCTGCAAGATACACCCACTGGTGCAGTAGTGGTACAAATGTAATGAAAGTAACCAAACACTTTTTAAAATTAACTTTAAGGCTCTCTCCATGAGATGGAACACGTACCCAAACTGTTAATGAGGTCAAGAATCTGGACTAGATAGGTCAGGGGCACTACAAGAAAATGTTCTACGACAGGAGCATAGCAATAAAATGATTGTTAGTGACATATCATTGTTCCCATAGATCCGAGCATTGCTCCACCATCTTCAGAGTAGCTGGTAAATCTTCTTATAGTAGCTGGTAAATTAACATAGAGACCTACTGTTGTGTCTGGACAGACCACATCAGGCCAATACAGTTCCACATGGGGTTTATTGTGGGGGAAGGGGGCAAAGGTGGTGGTGAAGACGAAGGGGAAAGAGAAAGAGGTCAGAGGGTCTGCCTTTTATTTGGATTGTGACATAACCGCTGGTAAAGGTAAAGGTGGGAGGTAAGCCAAGTGGATTCTGGGAATGTGTGGCAGTTGCCATGGCCACAGATGTGCGGGTCCCTGTCACCTAGGTGTGATGTCACTGGGTTTGGAGCCGATCTGCTATGCTGGTACCTGATATCATGCTGGTACCTACAAGTGGACTTTTGAGTTCTGAGCTCTAAATGGGATGTCTTTGTCATACTCCTCCCCTCAGGGCTAGGAGGACCAAGGAGGCGCAAAGACTGTAGGAGCAGAAACGTGGTGGAAGGCTCTTCAGATACAACAGGGCTGATGCACATATGAACTCATGAAGACTGTGATAGCGTGCATAAGACCTGAACAAGTTCAAGCCACACAAATTCCCAGCACAGCACTAAGAAGCCTCATTTCCAATCAAGAAGCTATTTGCAAGTGATGCTGCTCGGAAAGGGAAATCCCTTCTCTTCAGTGGAGTGATCGTGGGTGTGTCATCCACACTAGAGGGGCAGACTTCATACTCAAGAGTGGATGGCTAATTCAGAATGGATTCCACGGGTTGTTTTTTATCTTTTTGTTTTGTTTTGTTTCTCGACACACAGAAAAGTGGGGGTGGTAGTGGGAGATCTGGGAGTTTGAAGAGGGGAAAGAATAAGATCAACCTACATCACATGAAATAATTAAAAATTGCCGGGCGGTGGTGGCGCACGCCTTTAATCCCAGCACTTGGGAGGCAGAGGCTGGTGGATTTCTGAGTTCGAGGCCAGCCTGGTCTACAGAGAAACCCTGTCTCAAAAAAACAAACAAACAAACAAATTAAAAATCAAGAAAATTCAAAAAACAGTATCACTGACAAAAACAAATAAAAAAATTAAAATTTTAAAATGGAGAGCCAGGAAATGGCTCAATAGGTAAAAGCATCTGCTCTAAACCTGACAACCTGAGCTCAGTCTCTGAGATGCATGTGGTAAGAGAGAACTGAGTCCCACAAAGTCCTCTGACTTCATACATGTGATGGCAGGTGTGTGCACATACAAAAAAATGAAAATGAGTAATTCTTTAAAAATAAGGCAGGAGTCAATAGAGAACAGTCAATGTTGACCTTTGTCTTCTATCTGTACACATGTATGCACACAAAAACTCAAATATACATTTATGCTACACACACACACACACACACACACACACACACACACACACACACAGCACCATCACACCCAAACTAAAATGGAATCTTAAATAGAGAACAGGTAAAATTGATGCCCATCTCACTACTGAAACAGGGTCTACTTCCACTGTAGACTAAACTTCAACTTTTTTTCTTTGCGGAACGATCTCACTATATAGACCTGACTGGCCTGGAACTCTTATTAAGACTAGGCTGGCCTGGAACGTCCAGAGATCCACCTGTCTCTGCCTCCCTGAATATAGGTATTAAATTAAGCAACACCACACACCTGTTATCTTTGCATTTGCTATCCTCTCGCCTAAGTCTCTGGAAGGCTAAAATTATAGGGTACGGTTTTTATGTGAATAAGTAATTTCTCCTGTATAGGAAAACCAGTATTTTTCTTATTTTGTTACTGCTTGCTTTTGATGCAACATGGGTTTGAGACTTTTAAAGTGAGAAACCTCTGTAGTGTAGCAGAAAAGGGTAGGTAATCACTTGATGGCTCACAGAAGCCTCTTTTCTCTGAACATAACTCAACACCACCTGACCCAAATTCACTAAGAGAACTCACAAATGTCAAAGCAACTAAGGGCTGAAGAGTTGACATTACCACAGAATGGGGCCAAGCAGCCAAAGCAGCCAGTCCTCGTACAGCCCCAATACAGGTGGCAGAAGGGCTGCAGGCACACTGCACCTGTGGACAGAGGACAGTTGGTCAACTGAGACCTACAACTGTGGCTGTTCTCATACTTGAGGACATTTAGCACCAGACTCAAGACCTCAACTCTCTTTGAAAACAGCATTTCTGAGGTGTTTTCAATGAACTAGGGAGCAGAGACAGCATGGCAAGCAACACCTGAGGTAAAAGTGATACAACTATATAATTCACATTATCATATGTTATGTTATGTTAAAAATCGTGACCTTAAAGACAGCTTGGTCTCCGGCCCCAGCACCCAGACAGCCCTCGTTCACTGTCTCCCCAATCTGAGTATGTGATACACTTGAAGTAACTGCACATTCATGGCTTCAGAGAACTTTCTACTGACCATAAATACTGTTTTTACATTGTTATTGTGCTTGCCTTTGTAGAAAAGGTTTTTAATGTTTAATGTTCTCTACAATGCAAGTTTATTGAATATGGTACTAAATAAACCCTGGCTGAAATTCTTACAGGACTCAGTAGCTAAATTTTTTAAAGGGAATAATCATTTTGTAAAAGCAATCTCTACAGAATTAGCCAAAAGTAAAGACTGCCCTCTTAGCAAAATTTTAAGGACATAACCTCTGCTGCCACTTACTTCTCGGATACAAGGTAAGGTACTTTCTGGACTCTTCCAGGGATTCCTTTCAACATGCCTAGAAGTCACTCTGGTATGCCTGGGACTTGTTAGTTGCATATCCCAGAATGCACGTCCCTGCTGAGCTACTGTTTCTTCTGTGCTGCACTGAGTCCAGGATAGGAGAGCAATCTCCCCAGCAGCAGTCTCTGAGCACACAGAACACTCAACCTCACTGAAGTGGAGTGCTTGCACTGTATCAGACACTGTGCCCTTGATACGCAGGAGAATGGCTCTGGGACTCCAGGGACTTGTTGATGTGGCCACATGAGTTTGTATCTTTCTTTATTTAACAGCAATAATAGTCAAGCAACTTTCAAGTTGAGAAATATTTTTAAAAGGCAATAGATACAAGCTAGCATTTCAAGCAAAAGTAAATTCAAGCAGCCATTAAAGATGCAATGCTAGGAAGGAAACCCAGGAGCTTGTACATCTAAACAACTCTCCTACCACTCAGCTATGTCTCTATCCAAAGACCTCTTTTAATGGTAAGAAACATAAATTATAAACAAGATATTTCACCTATTAGAGTTATAAATAACATATTATATAATGACTGTAGTACTGATAAGAGAATGGATATAGAATCAGAACCCAGAAGAATCACACACATATGGAAATGTGGTCTCTACAGGGCAGTGTTATTAATTGGTGGGGAATTTAACACGCTCATGTGGGATCAAATGATTATGACTATATGCAGATGGAAAAAAAATCATCTTTGTTTTAAAGCTTACATAAAGTCAATTCCATTTGAAAATTAAGCCATGGAGGATACACAAGAATGTCTTCCTATTGCAGGGGGCACCTCAGGGAGACTGATATACTCACACTGTTGAGGGGCAACACGGGAATCCTGCTCACGCTCAGCTCTCCGGTCAGGCATAGGCTGGAAGCAGCAGGTGCATATGGCATGGCTTCCTTGAAGAGGGCACGTATAATCAGGGGCTGCTGACGTACATACATATTTAGGTCAGAGTAAGTCTAGGTATCAGGGGAAAGACAGCAGACAAAAAATTTACAACTAGAGAGGCAACTATGAAATACAAAGGAGAAGTGCCAGAACCCAGGAGGAATTCAAACTACTTCGTAAGTGGCCAAATGATATTCTGCTATTTGAAACACAGGAATTCAGGCTGGCTATAGCTCAGTGAGTATTTGTCTAGCATTTGAGAATCCTCAGCTTAATCTCCTGCACCAAAAATACACAATGCATGTACGCATACAAATATACAAATAAAATTAAAAATTAAAAAAAGTAAATGGACTAAGGTAGTTGAAATCAGGCATGGGTGGATACACCTATAATACTAGCCATTGGGAGGCTGAGACAGAAGATCAAGTTCAAGGCTAGCCTGAATTATAAATTAAGACCCTGTTTCAAAAAAGCAAAAAGGCTATCCTGGGCTATGGTCAAGCATCTACCTCTGGTTGCTGAGGACTGCTTTGCTTTCCCAACTGTGGGTTCTAGAAGTGGACCCCAAGAACCAGAAGAGAGTAGAGTAGCCAAGAATGTGCCTCCTAACTACCATCCTACGTTAGTGGCCTTCTAATACACTCAGGCTAAATAGCAGTAAAAGGGCCTGGGATCCTAAGGCTATCTTCAGTTTGGCAATGATTACAGTGTTGACTGTACTAAGAACTGGAAGAGCTACAACCAGAGTGGCCAGCCCCAGGCAGGGAGCACTGCAAAGCTACCTGAAGCCAGTTCAACCCTTAGAGCTAAGAACAGCATGCCACATGTAAGTAGGCAGCTCTCTTTTCCCTTCCTCTCATCTTCTCTGTTTTCCTTTTAAGTTGGAGTAGAACCCAATGCCTTACAAATAACTGCTTGGCACGTCCTCTATTGGTGAGCCGTATCTCAGCCCGTCCTTTGTTTTTCTCAGTGCATCTAGGCGCCTGTCTGGGAAATACACAACTGATGGGCAACACTATGGACATGCAAGTCAGCCAATGGGAATTCAGCATAATGCTAGAGAGAAGCCAGTCTCTTAAATTGGATAGTAGATACAGAATGATCATTTTGGCTTTGGAAAACTCCACTAAGAAAACTCCCTGAAGCAGTAGGCTGAAGAAAGACAAAAGTTAAAACCAGAACTGTCAATTGTTAGGTATGTCTGAAAGGGAAGACCCTCAAATAAACAATGTCCACTTAATTAATTAATTTTCTCTCTCTCCTCTCTCTCTCTTCCCCTCTGTGTATCTCTCTCTATCTCTTTCTTTCTGAGACAGAAAGGTCTCTCTGTTTAGGCCTGGTGATCCTAGAACTCTATATAAAGACCAGGGAAGCCTCGAATTCACAGAGATCCTCCTATCTCTACCTGGCTCTCCTCATTTCTTACCAATACTGGTTATGCCAAGCAAGAGGCTATGAGAGGCAAAGGATAGCTGAAGCAAAGGAAGAGCGAGCAGGAAAGACATCATAGAGGAATCACACCACAGGAAAATAGAACAAAAAACACAAGGATGTAACACAGTGGGAGGAAGAGCTCATGGTTAGACACCACGATCTTACCTATTGACAAGCTGGCAGATGTTGAAGGTGCTTCCCCACCAAGGGCCTGCGCAGCTCCCAGCTCACTATCTGGGACTGGGCAAGGAAGGGACTGCACTGCTTGCCTTCTGTACTCAGGACACTGTCTGCATACGATGTACGGCTGACTGTGAGGAGAAGAGCTGCAGTTACAAAGGAACAGGCTCCAGGCAGACATCATCACCTACCAGCTCCAGTTGCTGGGCTTCTACCCTTCAAGGCCTCTACTCTACTCTGCTCATCTGCAGCACCACTTCAGCATGTGTGAACAAGGCAGTGAACCCCACTTTTCTGCCCAGCTCCTACCACAGGGATGACACACCCATAACTACCTGGAACAGGGGTCTAAATGTGAGGATAGCATCCACCACAAGATAGCTGCTCTGTGCTCAGCCACTCTCCTGCTCAATCCTTCACACCTCATGCTTCAGCACATTCTACCCTGACCACTTACTCCCTACTTGGTGGACATGGACTCACAGGCTCCAAGGCCAAGAAAACCCAGGCTCATGAGAGAAAACTACACTGTAACTACTGCTAGTTCTCTCAATACAGGTATGTTCTTGCCTTGTTAGAATCAGAGCACAGCTGCAATCCCAGCATTGTCAAGGCTGAGGCAAGAGGATCTTAGTGAGCTAGGATTAAAGGTGTCAGCGGCCAGACTCAACTTAGTATGCCAGATTGACCAGAATATTCTCAGATGCTAGGCAATCACTCCATCACTCAACTACAGTTCTCAACCTTTTTTTGTTTTTGTTTGTGTTTTTGGTTTTTTGGTTTTTTTTTTTTTGGTTTTTGTTTTTTCGAGACAGGGTTTCTCTGTGTAGCCCTGGCTGTCCTGGAACTCACTCTGTAGACCAGGCTGGCCTCAAACTCAGAAATCCGCCTACCTCTGCCTCCCAAGCGCTGGGATTAAAGGCGTGTGCCACCACTGCCCGGCTAGTTCTCAACCTTTTAAAATAGTTTTGTTTTGAAACAAGAGTCTAAGCTTCTCAGGCTAGCTTTGAACTCACTCTGTATGCCAGAGGAGGTAATCTGCTCTTTATTTTTTAAAAATTATCATGCATGGCCTTGGCCCAAAATGGAGACCTGAAACCAATGTGTCACCAAGTAAAATTAGGTCTCAAAGGGCCATCTCCACTCTGCTTGGGTATTATGCCTCTCCTGTGATACTACTCTAAGAAATTATAACACTATCATTTACAGCCTAGGACTCACAGTCTCTTAAGAATTACATGTGCTTATGTGGGCAAAACAATACATATGACTTTTCTGCTATAGCCAGTGAACCAGGACTTTTGATGAGGGGGCCTCAGAAAATGAAGGGTATTGTTGGGGAGATTCAAAACCCACTGAAGAGTCTTGGAATGGTGGTTCATGCCTTTAATTTCACTGCTCAGGAGGCAGAAGTAGGCACATCTTTGTGAGTTCAAGGACAGCTTGGTCTACATAGTAAGTCCAGGATAGCCAGGGCTACATACAAGAGAGAGACGACTAAGCTAGGAGTGGTGGCACAGGCCTTTAACCCCAGCACTCAGGAGGCTGTGGAAGGTGGGATCAAGGCTAGCCTGGCCTAGATAGTGAGTTCCAAGATAGCAAAGGGTACATGAAGAGATTCTGTCTTAAAATTAATTAATTAAAAAGTCCATCAAGGCTCTCTGTGGTTCTTAACTTATTCATTGCTGCTCTGGGACCATTCAGTTCTGGCTATACTCCAATTTGAGGAAATAAGCTAAAAACATTAAGGAAACTGACTTACTGAGTCCTAGAGCTGTACACTCCACAGTTCAGTTAAGCACAGTACTAAGGTACTTCTCACCCGCAGATGCCCTCTTTGAGCCAGGCACAGGTCTAACCTGATGTCTGAGGATTCACTATCAACATCAGACAGCTCTAGCAGGTCCTCTGAACTTCCCTCCTCATCAGAGAAAGACCTCCTGACTCTGGGTTGCAGCATATCTTGAGTGATTTTATTCCTTGCATCCATACTTCTCACATCTTCTTCACTGCGACTCTTATCTAGACATAAAGGGCATAGCAACAGTCACTGTCGAGAGACATGTGGAGGTTTTGGCTTTTACTGTCTATTGTAATGCTATGTGCTGGTCCCTAAGATTTAGAGTCTGCACTTAGCCCCTGGGACCCTGCCCCCAAGTTAATTCTGATTGGTGAATAAAGATGCCGACAGTCAACAGCTGGGCAGAAGAGACATAGGTAAGGTTGAAGTTTCACAGACTTGAAGAGAGAAGACCATGAGGAAGAAAGGCAAAGAAGCCACATGGATGAAGAGCAACATGCAGAAGGGAGAAGGAGAGCCGCCATGGGCAAAGGGCCAAGAGAGCGTGGCTCAGAGGGTTGGCCAATTAGAATTAACAGCAGCCCAGATGGAACTCAGTAAATAGTAAGTGATAACTTGAAGTCACTGATAGAAAATTAGATTCTAACAGCATGGACGGTAGGCAGCTGCCTAGCTGTTATGCTACATGTAAGGCATATTAAAATATAAAGGCTGTATGTATTTTTCATCCAGGAACATAAATGGTCTAAGGTGGGGAAGAAGCCCAGCACCAGGAATGTTTTTCTACAGGACAGGACTAGAGAGACGATGGCTCAGGGCAGAGCTTCAGCCCCAGGTCCTACAAGAGAAAAGGTAGTGGAGCTGACCTGGGTGCTGGATAAGGTATGCTTCCACGAGGTTGTTCAGGATATGGTTTTTGCAAATCCGCTCCACTGGACATCGGCAGGTAGGGCACAGAGATGAACGCTCCATCCAACCAGAGTAGCAAGCTGCACAAAATGTGTGCATACAAGGCTGCAAACTGGCAGAATATGAAGGAATAAAGAACACATTTCCTGACAAAATCTTCCAAAGATCTGCCACTATTACACGCAAACAAAATCAGCTTCAGGCTGACCCAAACAGGATTGCAAGCTGGATCCCCAACCACGGGCAAATTGTGGAGAACTGTATCATCTAATCTAAAAATACTTAAAGCTCAGTATTAGAAGATACAAAATAAAAATTAGTAATAAAAAAAAAAATCAGAGCTATATGCCTGTTTTCAGAGAAAACAAATCATAGATCCAGCACCAAGTGTTTGGGTACTGAAAGTTGGGTAGGATCCACCTCCCAAGTTTCCAAACAAAAATCAAGAGAAGTTTCTCCCAAAGAGAATCCTGGGATCTTCATTCTATTGTAAGTATTATGTCTTTACCCAGGAATATTTTTTTTTTTTTTTGGTTTTTCAAGACAGGGTTTCTCTATGTAGCCTTGGCTGTCCTGGAACTCACTCTGTAGACCAGGCTGGCCTCGAACTCAGAAATCCGCCTGCCTCTGCCTCCCAAATGCTGGGATTAAAGACGTGCGCCACCACTGCCCGGCCCCAGGAAATGTTTAAAACCCAGTATACAACACATGATTCACCTACAAGGCAAAGACCAGGTTTGCTGGGTCACTCATGGCCTGCGTTAGTCAAAAACTAAGATTAATCACATCTCATAGATTCTGTGGCCCTGGTCTGCAGGTTCAAAAAAATCCTCCTTGTTGACACTACAAGTAAAATGGAAACCTGAGCAGATTACAGGGCAAAGAAGATCAAAGTCTGTTTTATTTATGGTCACTTCTTCAAACTTGTCAAGGGAGCTGGCACTGCTGAAGCCACCCTAGGATATGAAGCAGCACACCTCACACAATCATGCAGAAGGTCTTGACAGATGATACAGGTTAGTGTCTCCTCCATCTTGTCTGGCTTCACAGAGACGTCTTTGATATCCTCACTTGAGGTTTGGGCATTTCCATGCTGGTCTGCAACTAATAACTGGAGGTTCATGTTAAGCTCCCCATCTACAAGACAAAGGACAAATCCCAACAGTCACAACCACTTAACCTGAAGACACAGACAATCCTCACATTTCTATTGTCTACCAACAGCAGAGGAGACAAAGCCACTTAAAAAGACTTTTCCTGTTCTTCAGAGAGGCTCTCATGATGTAGCCCTGGCTGTCTATACAAGAACTCACTGTATAGACCAGACTGCCCTAGAACTCAAGATAATCTGCCTGCCTCAGCTTCCTGAGTGCTGGATTTCAAGGCATGTGCCACCATGCCTGGCTATGAAAACTATTTTAAAGATGGTCCCAAATAAGCCACATGTTCCTATGCCTAAATTCTGGTTTAAAAGAAGAGCTGCTGATGCATTAGACATAAAGATGACAAGTGGAAGGAGACATCAGTGGAATACTACTTTTATAAATGTCACTTTTGTTTAGACAAATAAAATATAACCCTATGCACAAAAGGAAGTGCTGGGGGAAAAAAAAACCTCTAAGGGGCACTGGAAGCTTTAAAAATGTCCTTTTGCCAGGCGGTGGTTGCACACGCCTTTAATCTCAGCACTCAGAAGGCAGAGGCAGGTGAATCTCTGAGTTACAGAGGCAGGTGAATCTCTGGACTACAAAGTGAGTGACAGAAACCCTGTCTTGAAAAACCAAAAAAAGAAAAAAAGATCCTTTCTTCTGATACATTTATATACATACATAAGCTACTACTGATATTATTTTTTTTTTTGGGGGGGGAGATTTCCTCATGCTGCCCTGATTAATCTCAAACTCATTAAGCAGCTGAGAGTTACCTTAAAGATCTGATCCACCTGCTTCCATTTCCCCAAGACTGGGATTATAAGCACACAATATCATAGCTTGTTCAATTTTAATTTATTTTTAAAAGCTGGATGTATAGACTGGGCATGACGACTCACTAGAGAGGCAGAGGCAGGGGGAATCTCTAAGCCTAGCCTAGTCTACAGAGTGACTTCTGAGACAGACAGCTAGATCCCAAATGAAATGTTGGATTCATTACACTTTGCTTATTGGTTTGCAGGGAGGGCAAAGAGATGCATATGGAGGCCAGAGGACAACTTGCAGGGCTTACCTAGCCCTTTCCTTCCACCCTGTAGGTCCTGGTGAACTGAACTCAGGTCTTCAGGCTTAGCAGCAAGCTCCTTTACTCACTGAGACATCTCACTAGTCCTCAATTTTTATTTTTAGTTAAAGAAATGCTTAGGGCTGGAGAACTTGTTGCTCTTTCAAAGTACCTGAGTTCAGTTCTCAGCTCATAACCACTTCTCACACCACCTCAAGAGAGCTGATGTTCTCTCTGTTCTCCATAAAATACAAATAAAAAAAAAAAAAAAAAAAAAAAAAAAGCCAAACATGAGGGTGCACACCTTTCTTCCCAAATGCTTAATCACAGCATTTGGGAGGCTGAAATAGGCAGATCTCTGTGACTTTGCTAACAGCCTGGTCTACATAACAAGTTCCAGGTTAGCCAGGGCTACATACCAAAAGCCTGTCTGAAAAGAAAGAAAGAAAGGAAGGAAGGAAGGGAGGGAAGGAGGGAGGGAGGGAGGAAGGAAGGAAGGAAGGAAGGAAGGGCGAGCGAGCATGAAAAGCATACAACTTTAAAAGTCACACAGAGGGAAACAAATGCAGTTATTCTCCACCTTGGCCTTTCCTTACCTAGTTTCCTCATCTAAGGAAATTATTCAGTTTTTTTCCCCCTGTGTATCTGTATTGTAATACTTCAGTTGATTTACTTTGTTTACAGTATTGGAATAAAATCTAGGGTCTTGTACATTAGGCTCAACCACTGAGTTACCCTCAACTGACTTATAATTTGAAAAGTCCTCTTAGGCCAGCCTGGTCTATAGAGTGAGTTCCAGGACAGCCTGGGCTATAAAGATGAACCCTGCCTCGAAAAAAACAAAAAGAAAAGTCCTCTTAAAATCATTGAGCAAATATTGCTTAAGCTACATTTTATGGCCATCATTATAAATATATTAAGTATTCATTGCTAAACTGAGTAGTCTAAACAAATTTAAGTTTTCTTTTTTTTTTTTGGTTTGGTTTGGCTAGCCTCAAACTCTAGAACTCAGAAATCTGCCTGCCTCTGACTCCCAAGTGTTGGGATTAAAGGCGTGCGCCAACACCACCCGGCAAATTTAAGTTTTCTATCTTACATAATTTTCTATTTTTAAAAACATTTTTTATGAATGTGTGCATACCTGTATGTGTACCATATACATGCCTGGTGCCTGCCAAAGCCTGACTTTACAGAGAGAGTCTCTTAAGCATCAGCAGTAAATAAAATATAAATGAAATAAGTAATGAGCTACATGGGGAACAAGCTCTAGCTTTTGGCCTAAGCAATTATTCATAATAATTTAGTCTCAGAGTCGTTATTTCTAGGAACTAAGTGGCCAGGAGGAAAAGCCCAAGATTACATGAATTGGGCACTAGGTCCCCGAAACTGGAATTTCATGTGATTGTAAGCTCTCAGGTGGGTGTTGAGATGCAAACTCAGGCCCTCTGCAAGAATAAGGGCTCTTTTATTTTTATATTGGATATTTTATTTATTTACAATATATTTGAATTTGATGTCATCCCATTTCCCCTCCCTAGAACTCCCTATACCATCCCCCTCCTCCTTTCTGCTTTTATACCATTTTAATTACCTGCATGTATTAAGGTCAGTTCTAGGTTGAGGGTCTAGCATTACAATAGATGCAAATAGTCAAGGAACAGGCAGAACAATAAACACAAAGAGACAGAGAGCCTTTGGGGCTGCTTGGCAAGAATCTGACATTGGCCAAGGACAAGAAAAGGATCCACTGCTTGGCAGGAATCTGACTTTGGCCAAGGACAAGGAAGTAGGCTTCAGGCAGGAATCAGTCATTAGGCTAGAACAAAGAAGTAATTTCAGGCAGGAATCTAAATCTTAGTCTAGAACAAAGAAGTAATTTCAGACAGGAATCTAAATTTTAGGCTAGAACAAAGAAGTATGCTTCAGACATGAAAACAACTTTGGACTAGGACTGGGAAGTAGGCTCAGATACTTTGGTAATCCTGATAAGCCCTTAGAAACAGTGATCCCGGGAGTGTTCATGTAATTGGGTTTAATACCTTGCTTGTTCTTTGACTAAGAATAAGGGCTCCTAACCACTAAGCAATCTCTCCAGCCTCTAAATTTCCATTTTTGTTTAAAAGTCACCTCTTATCAATATTTTTTTCCCCAAGACAGGGTTTCTCTGTGTTGTCCTCGATGTCCTAGAACTCATTATGTAGACCAGACTGGCCTCAGACTCAAAAGATCCACCTGTCTCTGTCTCTGAAAAAGAATTCGTGTGGCACTATGCCTGGCTTGATAATTTTTTCTTTTAAGGAAATTGTGTGTGCGTGTGCGCGTGCGTGTGCTCGCTCGCATGCGCATGTCTCCATGCCGTGGCACACATGTGGAGGTCAGAGGACACTTATACAGAGCTGGTTCTCTACTTTTACCATCTATGTGGGCTCCAGAGAGAGCAATCAGGCTGCCAAGCTTGCACAGCCTTTACTGGCTGAGCCATGTCACCAGCTCTATGTTTACTTTTTCCTATGTAACTATTGTGATTCATATCATGGCATCCACAAGCCATTAATTTAATTTACCACAGATGTTCAGATAATCTGGTTTTCTCCCCAGGACATCATTCCTAGAGCTCTTCTATCACTCTATTCCCACAGCCAGCTGGCCTTGAACTCTGACCCTCCCACCCTGTGTCCCAAGTACTGACACATATTATAGAGTATATGTGTCACCATATCCTGCTTAAGACAACATTTTTTAGAGAAATTACTATAATATCAAAAATAGAGGACTTTGACATCCATTTGTAATTGAAAAATGCAGTTTTCAGAACAATAGCATGGCCTAGTAGTGAACAGTTCTATTTAAATTATGCAAACAGAAAGAATTCTAGACTTTCATATAGAAAATGCAAGTTATTACTAAACCTGAGGCAGATCCACATACTTCTGCAAAAAGTGGAAACCTACTGCAGGCAACAGCCAGCACAGCACAGAGTACAAGAGACCAAAGGATGCACAGAACAGCAGTCTAACCTCTTCTCATCTTTTTTTTGGCAGGCTCCAATTCCTCATGGTCTTCGGTTTTCAACAAAGAAAAGGATGCTTCTTTGTCTTGGAAAATTGGAGAAAGGCTAGAGAGTTCACCATTTGCAACAAGTGAACTGCATTCTTTTGGGGAGATGCTTGTATTCCCAGGTCCTGTGAAAGGGGACAAATAAGAAAGATTTTTATGTATCTGCTTTAGAACAAAGTCGGGAAAGAGTCATTGATTTAAATCAAGTACAGTTTGTGATCAGAAATATCCGCTTAAGAATGATGCATGTCTTACACACTCATCCGTGAGTCATACCTTAAGTGCATTAGACCCCCCCATCACTGTGCTACGGAAGCTAGAGGTAGGCAGCACATTCATATGGATAGACATGCAGGGAGGCCCACAGCACAATCATCCTGAAATACTGGGTCTAAGATGTACAACACATTCTTTTTTTTTTTTTTTTTTTTTGGTTTTTCGAGACAGGGTTTCTCTGTATAGCCCTGGCTGTCCTGGAATTCACTCTGTAGACCAGGCTAGCCTCGAACTCAGAAATCCGCCTGCCTCTGCCTCCCAAGTGCTGGGATTAAAGGCGTGCGCCACCACCACCCAGCTGTACAACACATTCTTGCAATCACAAAATGCATATTACATACTAAATATCGGCAAAAGGTATGAAGCAGACACTTCTGCCAGGAGTGAGGAGTACTGTCAAGGAACTAACTGATGGAGTTGTGACCTAAACAGGCAGAAGCTTAAACATCCCATGCAAGTCGAATGAACTTGGCTAAAAAGTCAGGAAATTTTACATTATCCTCTATCTTATTCATAATATTATGATACAATACATATATGCTTTATAATATTCAAATGGTAAGTACTAGTGTTTGAAAAAGAAGAAGCTGGTTTATACTATCTAAACCAAAAAAGGGGAGGGGGGAGAGGCAATGGAATTATTTTAGGAATAAATAATACTCATATACTAACAAAAGAACAAACTTCCCAGGCTACTTCCTGGTCCTGGAACCTACTCATCCTCTGATCTTTAGTCTTTTAGGTTCAGCTTTTCATTTAGAACAAAGATTATATAAGAGCACTTCTATGGAAGGTCCCTGATAGGGGGACGGAATATACACAAGCACTCATTATACCGTCTCGCATCTGGTAGACACTGAGTAGTAACTATAATTGTGTTAGTATGATGTAGAGATATAGACATTTTTCATTTAAAAAAATGTATTTACCCATTTTAGGAAATGTGATTATTAGAAGGTTAATAAAGCCTTGTCGGACTACATGGCATGCACATGAATAGATGGAACAGAATACACATGTAATGATAAAGCAGGTTTTGAGTGTTTATGTATGTGTGTTGCTGGGGATCAAACCAAGAAAGGAAGAAGGATAAGCCATGGGGACCAGGGCATGTAAAACTGGTTCTAAGCTGGGCAGTGGTGGCACACGCCTTTAATCCCAGGACTTGGGAGGCAGAGGCAGGCGGATTTCTGAGTTCTAGGCCAACCTGGTCTACAGAGTGAGTTCCAGGACAGCCAGGGCTATACAGAGAAACCCGGTCTCAAAAAACCAAAAAAAAACCACAACTGGTTCTAAGCAACACACAGTTCTGGATAGACCTTGAAAACATTATGATATATGAAAGAGTCAGTCATAAGACCACATACTATGAACACAAACGTTCAGAACATGCAGAGATACATGAGTTTCCTTTTAGCTGACAGTGTTCTGTAACTAACAGTGATGGCCACATAACCTTATGAATGAAACTTCAACTGAGTGATATCTATACCGTATGAATTATATTTAGATAAAATTATAAAAGTATTATGTTACCATGGTCCTTAATGTTTAGTCTTTCTCTTGGGAATAAGTATACATGGCTACAGAACACTCACTGATGAATGGATTTGCTGTATCTCAAGGAACAAAGACTGTGACTGTCATTGTGATCCCGTCTCACCAGAGCTAGAGGAATGCTTTTGCCCTGCAGAGGTCAGCTCTGGCTCCGTAGAAGAGGTAGAGGCCGTGGGGAGGAGGTCTGATGTCGATGTTGATGGCTGTGGTTCCTCTAAGCATGTCTGAGCCATGGGTGACAATAGTGGAACCTGGGGGTCATCACCCTGCCCTGGACCTGAGGAATCTTTGGTCACATGGAACATATTTTCTTTATTGGCTTCTACAGGCACAAAAACAAAGGGAGTATACTCACAACTCAGAAAGACACTAAGGGGCTGAAAAGGCCATCCTAGTACACAAAGCCCTGGACAACATCCAGGCCTCTGCTATCCTTCCACTTACCAAGGGATTCTTGAGTTAAGCTCTGTTTGTCATTTAAAGATTCATAGAGGTATGCCACATCTAAAAGGAAATTAAACAAGTCAGGGAGTGGTGGCCCCGTGGGAAGTGCGCGCCATCTCTCCCCTTCTATGATCACATCACAACTTGTGTTTTGATTATCTTCATTTACCATCTGGTAACAACTTTTACCAGTTTAAGTGATTCTAATAAAAGTGAACCACATTTACCAACCTAAGTAGAAGGAAGCAACCAAAGGGGAAAATGGTCTCACAAGGGAGACAAGGGTGAAAAAGACGCACTTCACTAATAACTGTGAAATAACCACTAGAGAGAATAGATAAGACCCCATGGGGAGAGCAACAAGACCAACCAACCCGAGCTCCCAGGGTCTAACCCACCAGCCTGGGAGCACACAGGGAGGGACCCATGGCTCCAGCTGTCTATGTAGGGGAGGAAGGCCTTGTCGGGCATAGGTGGGAGAGGAGGTCCTTGGTCCGGTGAAGGCTGGATGCCCCAGTCTGGGGGAATTCGAGGGTGGGGAGATGGGGGGGGAGCTGGGGGCACATCCTCATAGAAGCAGGAAGAGGGGGGATGAGATAGGGGGGTTCCTGGGCAGGGGAGGGAATGGGGTAAGGGGATAACATCTGAAATGTAAATAAAATATCCAATAAAAAATAAATAAAATTTTTTTTTAAAAAAAGAAAAGATACAAGATCCTTTTGTGTGGCAAGAGGCTGGTTTTACTTTAAGAGGACTTAAGGAATATTTTTAGTGTCCTCTTTTTACTCCTTGCCAAGAATAAATTTATGGTGGTCTTCACATGTTTCTGGGTACCCTTTAAAGATTCTCCCAACTCTGCTTATCCCACATGGAGCTAGATCCAGTCTAACCTTTACTATCTCTTATAAAGTGTCCAAAAGCAGTCCTGCCAATGGCTTCTGGGCCCCATCTAGGTTTTACTCCCACATTCCAATTCTACTGCCCGGCCCATCTACCCATCCTTGGCTGCCACTCTGAGGTGTGCGGCTCCAGATGGGTTCTTGAAGAAAAGCCCAGCTGAAGGGTCAGCACTCCACCCAAGTGCTTACACCAAGAACCCGCATAACTGTCACTTTCTATGGAGATGTCTCCTTCTACACGTGTTCTTTCTGAGGGTGTTTCTCAGCCTCAGCTGGATGGCTTCTTGGTGCAACACCTGAGAAATGTATCTACACCAGTTAGTTTTCCTCTCTTACTGTGTTCTGGCTCATTCTTCCTGTATACCAAATAGATGATGTCCCCGCTCTGTAAAGGGTAAGTCTGCTTCTTAACAACTTGTAGCTTGTTGATTACCGTTCCATTGGTGCTGTAAAGAAAACAAAACAAAAGAAAACGAAACAAAAGCTTAACTTACCCCAATCAAAATAACTAAATAGCATAAACATTTTTCTACCGTATTAAGAAATTTGCTCAGCATTACTATCTTGAAGATACTCAGAGGGAAAAAAACCTATTTAACCATTTATGTATGCAAGTATCACCTGACAATGATCTAGACAAAAAGGTTGCCTGTTACTACTCACTTATAGCAAATTAGCAACCCAATTAACTAACAGAATGGTTTTTTCTCTTTCTGTAAAGATTACTTTTTACTCCTGTCCTTTTTTTTTTTTTAAGTGTATGATTATTTTGCATGCCTGCATGTGTGTAGTAGGCCAGAATAGGGCACCAGAACTCTTGGAACTGAATTACATATGGTTTTAAATGGTCTGTGGTTGTTGAGAACTGAACCTGGGTCTTCTGCAATTCCAGTGCAGGCTTTCTTGCACGCTTCAAGGTGGATCCTGAGGCACCACAGGGCTGTAATTTCCTTCTTTCCTGAGCTGTTGATAGCTCCCCCTCCCCCGCCTCCAACAACCAGTTCATTTTCTCCCCCTCTCTCATTCTCTGCCAGTTCATTCCTTACTGAGTACTGATCCCTCCCAAAAGATGCATTCAGGACAAAAGTAAAACAAATTGTAGGATTTCAACTGAAGGCATTGTGGCTCCTGTGCTCAAAAGACATGGAACCCCAATTATAATCCCATTGCTAGATGGGAAACCACAGTACATGTCCTGGGTCCAGAGTGTGAGGACAGGAAGGATTCTCTTGGGAAGAACTTTTTGGTGGCGACCTATTGGAAAATCAGACAATGAGTACATGATGGCCAAAGAGTTAAGTACACTAAACATAAAATAAATTTCAACTGAACCAAGCTTGGCTCTGCAGCTTCATTCCTGAGGTCCAGCACTGGAAGGAATTTGTATTTCAGACTTGCACAATAATTCTCTCAGGTCAAGGAATAGCAAAAATTTTCCATAAAGCACATGGCACTAGTTCAAATTCTGTAGTCACAAAGTCTCACTCCAACTACTCAGCTTTGCCACTGCTGCATGACAGCAGCCAAGGGCAGGACATAAATATGCAGGCACACCCATGTCCCAGTAACTGATGAAACAGCATGCAGACGTCAATCTTTACACAATCTTGACTGGCTTTCTGCAACAAGGTATCTTCTAATTGTCCATTTTCATATTCTTTCTCAAACAAATGAACTCCTGCTCTCAGGCTGAAGCCCAAATGCCCTACTATGATTTCTATTTATCGCCTGAACTGACCCCACATGTCCTTTTGCCTCTGCCTTGACTACCTGCTTCTCCTCTAGACCACCTCTGCCCCAGAAGGCAACACCTCTGGATCAGAAAAGAGATCATCCCAAGAGCATCCAGAAGGAATCAGCCCACCAAGACCCACACTGGATTTTGAACCTCTACAAACTGTCAAAAGTAAGTCACCATTCTCATAAGCTATTAAGTTTGTGGCAACTTGTTGCCACAGGAAGATGGCTTTAAAACTAGCACCATTTTCTATATAGTGTTAAGAGTTAAAAAAAATTCCATCTACTATCCACTAAAATAGAAAAAGACCATTAGTTCTCCTTAGAAAAACCTCTTCCCAGCTTCTATGCCTTGCCATCTCTACAAGTGTACAAATCTGAAATCCCAGGACTCAGGAGACTTGTCAGGAGACTCAGGAGGATCATGAGTTCTGGGTAGCCCCGAGTTCCACAGAACAGTGATATTGTATGAAAACAAACAAACAAACAAACAAAACAAAGTACCTAAAACTTAATCTAGTTGGTGTGTAACTCAATATACTGCCAGAAGGCTACCTATTGCTTGTACCAAACTTAAAACAACCACATTCTGAAGCAAGTGCTTCCCTTCAAAAGATAATCAGATGTAAATACAGTTAGGAGACCCACAACAGTGTCACATATAGTAAGAAAAAAAACAGAGGAGGGAAATAATAAGCTTTCATGAATAAATGGGATGTCTCCATCAAATCCTTCTGAAGGATCAGGGAACACTGCAGAAGAGGAGTTGAAAAGTATACAAGAGCCAGAGGGGATGGAAGACACCAAGAAAACAAGGCCTTCATACAAACTCACAGGAACTGAAGGAGCAGGAATGGACTTTCACAAGAAAGAAGTGGACACATGTCCCCATCCCTAACAGCTAGCTCCAACTGATAACCACTTGCAAATGAAAAATTAGTTTTCTCCAAGGAAGTCTCTGGGGAAACTATTCTTCAGGGTAGACCACATGCCAATCTGTAGACGCGAACAGAAAATGAACTCAGTGTTTTTGTTGGCATCTTTGAAGGTTCCTTGTCTCAAAATGTTGTCAACTTTTTTTAAAAAATTCAATTTTATTTTTCATTTTTATTTATTTACTTTTACCCTCCATACCTTTTGCACATATATTATGGTTTCTGACTTTGTGTTTTTGTGGGAGTCCTGGCTGTGTGAATGAATGTGTCTCTGTGTCTGTATCTTTTTCTTGTGCTTTTTCTCAGGCTCTCTTCCTTCTGTTTTGTCTTATCTGAATTTGTCTGCTTTTGTTTTATTTTATTATGTTTTATTATTATTTAGATGACTTTGTCTTCTAATAAGACAGAATAGGCATGAATCCAGATGGAAGGGGGGTAAGGAGGAACCGGGAAAAGTACACGGTGAGGAAACCATAATCAGGAGAAAAAAGAAAAACCGACCAATATATCTTAAATCTTATTTTTGAGATATATGAGCTGTATTACCACAATGTAACTGCACTGTCAGCTCCCTAGCTCCCTAACTTACAAAGGGAAAGAGAAGACAAAGTGCTCACCTTGTGTCTTCCAGTGTCACCTCACCAGATTTTTCATCCACTCTAAGTTTACAGTGATCTCCAGAGACCAGTTTATTGCTGGGGAAAGAGAGGTCACAGCCTAAAACAGATGGCAAGAAGACACTGGACATTACTGTGGGCTCTATGAGTACTACCACCTTGCTTTTCCAGTCTGTGACCAATTGTTGCCCGTGGACACAAACAACATTTAAATACGGAATTGTTAACCTAAAGTGAAGGGCTAGGATGTATGTCCTAACCTTCAACCCAGTCACCTGGAAGATATCACATCATATCAGCAGCTTCTTCATGATAGCTTATCACACAAACAGCTCAACAGATAATAGTATCTAAAGTGTAAAACAAACAAACAAAAACAAAACTAAAGGAAGGGGATTAATTAATTTTTTAATATTTTAAAAGAGTTGTCAAGTTTTTCCTCTATGGAAATCTGCGTTTCATAAATCAGAAAACTGAAGTAAAGACAGACACAGAAAATATGATTAAGAAAAGTACCATAGGGGATATATAAGAAAATAAAAAACAGAAAGGGGCCGGGTGGTGGTGGCGCACGCCTTTGATCCCAGCACTTGGGAGGCAGAGGCAGGTGGATTTCTGAGTTCGAGGCCAGCCTGGTCTACAGAGTGAGCTCCAGGACAGCCAGGACTACACAGAGAAACCCTGTCTCGAAAAACCAAATAAATAAATAAATAAATAAAAAACAGAAAGGGATCTATATTAAATGCAAAGTGGAAAATACTAAAAAGAAAAAAAAATGGTGCTTTCTCTAAATTACAGAAGTATGTGTGCTGATAGACTGCACCACTAGAGCTCCTCTCTTTGAATGACAATCACAGCTAGGCAAGAATCTCATACTGAAGTACCCCACAGGCTAGGGTAGGAGGATCATATGTTGAGGCCAGCCTGGGCTATATATGGTAAGACTGTCTCAAAATAAGGGTACGTGGGACACAACGTCCCACATGAGATCACAACCTTATTCTGTTTCGACCTATGCTTTGACTTCATCACTGACCTATGGGTGCAGGTTTGCTTGGCTACTTTGTAGGTTCTTCTTTCTTCCATCCTTTCAACCCCCTAACTATAGATAAGAGAGAGAGAAAAAAAGATACAGGGGAGAGGGACTGCATTATCTTTAAACTATTTCCTGCTGATTAGGGGCATCCAGTTCCTTGAGGCAAATTTGATCTTTGCCATTAGGATATTTAATTCCCTCTTCTTGTTTCTTCTTTGGGTACAACTACTTAACAAACTGTGAACAACAGCAACCAACCAACAACCAACAACCAGCCACCCACCCTGCCTCTCATGGCCCTAGCATTCATATACTCCTTGAAAAGTCCCCAGAATTCCAACCAATTGTCACACAATTGTAGAAGCTACTTGCCACTGGCAAAACCACGCTCCTTGCTAGAGCATGAAGCAAATCACAGTCAGCTGCTGTGGACAATTTGAAGCAGCTCTGTAACACCATAGTATATTCTTACAATATTCTTGTTTTTTTAAAGAAACAAAAAATTCCAAAAATTGCCACTATGTATGTGTTGGTGGATCAGAAGACTCAACATTTCCCCCTCCTTGAACCACCAAGTTTTATCAGCAGGAAAGGGAATGAGCCAAGGCCAGGATGCCTCCCTTCATCTATCAGAGGAAGCCCTCCATAAGAAAAAGAAAGTCTAGATATCTTATAACTCAGAGAACCTGGGGATGAGTGTTTATGTAACATATTGGACATTAACCAGGCTGCATAGTTGGCTATGTCCTGCTCCAACCACTAGCTGATGTCCACAAGCTGCTGGCACTCCTGGATATCAACATACACGATACCTAGGTAGGCTTAGATGCAGCTGATCATTGCCTAGATTTCTATCAACTGGGCTCTAAAGTGGACTTCTCTGTTAGCATGCATTCCAGGAATGCTTTCATGTCAAGCTACAGTAGAAGCTGTATTTCAAGATTCTAAAGGATACGCTGAAGGTCAATAACCTAATAACTTGCTTGTGTAGTTACTCCATGTGGTGACCACCTTAGCATCCAGCTACTCACTTTGATTTGGCATTGGTTACTCATCCTTCCAGTTCTTCTCTGCCAGGATCTCATACTGTCTTGTCTCTTTTAAGATCATGTATGTATAGGTCAACGCTCAAGGCAAAATGCATGTCCCTACCAGGCTGATCAGATGCTTTTGTGATTCTGCAGGCACACCAGCTTTTCTTCAAGGCTTATAACCTATACCTCTGGGTTGTTTGTGGTCAGTTAACTGATGTTGGCTTTCAGACTCAGACACAGGGTCTGTTCTGATACATTTAAAATCTGATTTAGAAATCAGCAGCAGCTAGATGGTAATACCCATCTGTGGACAAATCTAGAGTTTCCAATGAAGGCAGCAAGAATCTTGTTCTAAAGGTTCTCCATGGTCTTGCAGTGATGGCCACAGAATGTCTCAAGCCCCTGCTACTAGTACTAGCCTTCCCCTCACTCTGGTCTGACAGTCACTGAAAGTATACATAGTGACCTTTGCATTCCCTGCCAGTAGCTCAACAGACCCAGCCAACTTGCAGGCACAACTTAGCCACCAAAGAGGAAGATGAGGACATGAAAAGGTAAAAGACACAGATGTGGCCGAGCTAAGGCTCCATGGATGATGGGTTCACAGAAGTGTTCCTAGCCCTAAAGGTTCTACCCAGGCCCCTGAAGGAGGAAGTAACTAACAACTACTGGCAACTGTAGACAGTCATGGTGAGGGTATCTGCCAGTGACATTGGCTTGAGGAGATAGAAATAGCAGGAGTTAGAAGATTCTGTGCCATGGTGACAAATGCCTTTAATCCCTGCACTTGGGAGGTAGTGGTAGGTGGATATCTCCATGAGCTTGAGGCCAGCATGGTCTACAAAGGAAATTCCAAGACAGCCAGGGCTGTTATACAGAAAAAACTTTGTCTCAAAGAACCAAAAAAAAAAAAAAAAAAGAAAGAAAGAAAGAGAGAAAAAGAAGGAAAAGACACTACTTTTCTTCTCCTCTGGCATTCAAAGCCAATTCCATTAAAAATCTCATAAAACTTTTGTGTGAAGATCAGAGGACAACCTCCAGGGGTTAGTTCAAGCTTTCCACATACTAGTATCACCAAACTAGTGCAATGACCTTTACATTTTTAGTGAAAGTAATTACTGAAAGCATTTCTTTTAGAAAGCAGATTTTTGTTTCTTGTTTTAACAGGCAATGTAGTATCTTGATATGTATATTATAATAATGGGCTCTCTAATGTATGTGTATGCATGTGTACATGATCATGTTTGTGGAGGCAAACAGGGTCTCTCAATGAACCTAGAGCTCAAGAAGTCTGCAAAAGTAGTTTCAGCTAACAAACTTGGATCCTTCTGTCTCTGCCTCCCCAGAACTAGGATTAGCCATGCACCACCAAACTTAGCTTTTTATACAGGTGCTGGGGATTTGAACTCAGGTCCTCAAACACTTTACCATCTAAGCTTTCTCCAAAAAGCTAGCTCAAAGCTACTACAAGCAGTTCGTGTAAGTTTTCATCAATCCTCCTAGCAAAATAAGGTGGACACAAAGTTATAGAAATATATATCCTTAACCCAAAGCAATTGATGTCGGGACCTGTATATGACTCTGTTCAAATTCTGTTTCCTAGGTTCATTAAATAAAATATTCTAGTTCCTGGGACTTTGTGATCTTTTCAAATAGAAACCCTGCCATTATAAACTGCCCTCTGAGCACTGGTTTAACAGTGTCCTCGTCTTCCAGCATGTTCTTTGTTCTCTTTTGTCACACAAAACATTTTTCTAAAGTCCCTGTGGTTTATTTTTTTCATCCATCAACTGTTTAACAGTGGTGTCAAATTTCTACATACCTTTTCAGTTTTCCTTTTGTTACTGATTTCTAATTGCATTTCATTGAGAAAGGGAAGTGTACAGTAATGAGAACACGATTGTATTTTGAAGGATATATTTACATATCTAGTTCATAAAGTTGTACTGAGAACTGACTGAAATCCATCATCAAACATCCAGAAGAGCAACTGCACAAATAAATAACCCCATTTTAGGGGAAAAAAGGGAAAGCACAGTGCACCTACTCCCTAACCCCCATTCTGGTAGCTTCTGTCTCGCCAGCCCTGTACTTTTCCCACTTCAAACCCCCTGGTCGGTTTCCCCCATCTAAACCCACTCTGTCTAGGTCTTCGATCCTGCTCTAGGCCTTCAGTCTTTTCTCACTTGGGTACCCACTTTGGGTCCTTATGCTTAATCCCTGTCTACCCCTTCCCTCGTCCTCACTCCACTTTGGCTTCCGCACCTCTCTTCCTTCCGATGGTCCACTCGCGTTTCCAAAGAAGGATTTGGGATTCGTCCTCCTCTGCGCCTAGACGAAGAAGCCTCCCCCAGGGCTCCTGCGGTGGCGGCTGCTCTTCTTCCCCGTGTAGCTCCATAGGACTCACATCTACAGAGATCCAGAAACGCCGGCTTAGGGACTACTTCAAAAACTCTGCACCGCTGCTAGCCTGGCCGCCGCCTCCCTAGCCCGGACCCCGCCCGCCCGCCAGCTTACCCCCCGCCCTCCGCGGATCCCGGAACCGGCCGCACAGTCGCCGCCACCGCTGTCAACAGACATCTCGAGTACCCCAGCTGATCCACGGGAGGCGAAGGGGAGGGGTGCAGGGCGGTACGCCCAATGATTGGCTGGCGGCAGTGCCCACCGAGAGCGACGGCTAGAGCGGTGCCAGGAAAGGCTATCCAGAGGGGGCGGGGCGGAGCGATCTAAGCCTGCGCAGACAAGAGGTTGTGCACCTGATTGTCATCTTTGATGCTGGCAGGCGGACTTACCTTCCTGCAAAAGCACGGAAGTTGCTGTGGAGGGCGCCATGTTCTATTCAGGGGAGAAAAAGGACCGAGGAAGTTCTAAATTGGAAGGTCCTTAAGACCTTACTTGTAATACCGATACGGTTTGCCATTTAACCTGTAGCGAGATAAGGTGCTATTTTCATACATCAGATTGCAAGATATGGAAACTTAGTACTGTGGGTCAGCCCTTCGCAAGGAGCATAATTAAGATGTCAATTAGGAACTGGTAACTCGTCTCTGAGAGCAGATTTGTATTATCTTTCTACATTAAATCCTGTTCCTTAGAATCTTGTGTCATTCCCGAGTTGTATACCACAAGCATGTTTGTGGCCCCTGGTGAAAAAGAAACACTGGCAAAAACAATGCCCTGGAAGGAAATCACTGAAGACAGAGAAGCAAGTCCACAGAGTGGTACTTTAGCAGCTCAGAATAATGTCTTTGCTGGTGAACAGCTTCAAAAAAAGTATTAAACATCTGATTTTTTTTTTGTAAAAAGAAAACACATCCACAAACATATTTGTAATATATGTGGAAACGCATCTTTGCCTGTATCTACAAATATTTACTCGAAAACTTTTGAAAGGATATAAAAGGAAGTAGCAGGCTGCCTCTAGGAACAGAGTTGTAAGGGTCTGAAAATCGCTGAAGGAAGACCGCAGACTCAGGTGCAAAGATAAAGATCGTTTACTCTGCAGAAACAACCAGCACGTGGAGGTCAACCATTTTTTGAAATGGTAACCTCAGACAAAGATACATAGGCCTTCTTATAGGGAACCAGGGGAACTCTCTAGGAGGATTAGGTAATCTCTAATGTGACTGGCAGTGGCCAAATGAGTAACATTAGTATAACTTTGATTGGCTACTATGTTAGTTCTTCTATATTTAGAGAGAGAGTGGGTTAGGTAATCTAAAATTTCAATGGTGAGTGCTGGGGAGGTGCACGGGTCAGCTTCTGATTGGTTTGTGCCAGGTAGTCAGTGGTCTGCATTCCCATGTCATGAATGTTTAACTAGAGGATGAGATAGGTCTGCCCAACACAGATGACCCCTACTGGGACAAAATATTGTCACATTCTTGTGGTTATCCCCATGCTGTTCTTTGGGAAGAGGTTTTATGACCTTGTATCTGGATGTTATGATCTGTTCCTGGAGCTTGTCCCTTATGGCCTAGTTTCTGGGACTTATGGTCTGTTCCCAGAGGTGATGCCTAAGGCTTTCTTTTCAAAATCAGGCCTGGTCCTTAAATGGAGACAAATGAGGTTTATGTTGTCCTTTCAGAGTCAGGATGGCGCTTAGACTTCCATTCAACATTTATAGCCAGCCATTCCTAGCCTTCTGATAAGCGTGTTCAAAGAAGTGCTTCAGTAGATGATTTCTTTGTTGAGTATCATAGAATGGTAGCATCTAATACATAAAAGCTATATGCTGTCTATTGTTCTTAGGCTACCAAACTGAATAACATGTTACTGCAATGAACACTGTGTTGGGGTTCAGAAATTTCCTTACAAACAACACGAACACTGATCTCAGACAGGGGCAGTTTATTGAGCATATGCCCCAGGACTGATCAACCAGGCCCACTGTCCACATTTGGGAACTGAACTGTGACCCCAAGTTAAGATTATACAGGGTTTTTGAGCCCAAAATCCACAAATATCTGTGCCAAGTTATTCCACCAATCAGGATTTAGGGATGGGGGTTTACTTAGAAACATGTCTGTGTTGTATACTTATCCTGCTCCCATTGATTTAGGTATTCAACTGTAGCAGGGACTTGACTTTTTTTTAGGGTGGAGGGGTTTGAGACCAGGTTTCTTTGTTTAGCCCTGGCTGTCCTGGAACTCACTCTGTAGACCAGGCTGGCCTCGAACTCAGAAATCCGCCTGCCTCTGCCTCCCAAGTGCTGGGAATAAAGGTGTGTGTCAACACTGCCCAGCTCTTGACTTTTCTAATATTCATGTCTTAACTTAACTTGCCAAAGTTACCCATATACACGTTTCTTTCTGCCAAGTAGGATGTCAATTCCCAAGGATGCCTTGGGAACTTAAATTTAAGTCTTATTCCAAATGATTTCTTATATTGGCGCAGGTGTCTCTCTTATGATGGGGTTCATCTCAGGGGCAGCTTATACCATGAAAATTTATACACAGATGCAGTAAGAACTATTGAGTGGTTGGTTCAGGTCCAAGCTTATTGTGAATGACACAGTTCTACTGACATCTATCATGATTGGTTTCTAAGAGTATAGGACATAACAGACTATGTTATCAACTTGGCATTAGAAAGTTTCCTATGAGCTGGGCGGTGGTGGTGCACACCTTTAATCCCAGCACTTGGGAGGCAGAGACAGGTGGATTTCTGAGTTCGAGGCCAGCCTGGTCTACAGAGTGAGTTCCAGGACAGCCAGGGCTACACAGAGAAACCCTGTCTCGAAAAATCAAAAAAAAAAAAAAGAAAGAAAGAAAGTTTCCTATGAACAGCAGAAGCGTATGAGAAAGTTTCCTTATAATGGCAGGCTAGCCAGGAAACTTACTAGGCATTAACATTTTACCTAGGTCTTATAGGTACTTGTGGGGCTGGAGACATGGCTCAGTGGCTAAGAGCACTGACTGCTCCTCCAGAGGTCCTGAGTTCAATTCCCAGAAACCACACAGTGGCTCATAACCATCTGTAATGGGATCGAATGCCCTCTTCTGGTGTATCTGAAGACCGTGACAGCATATTCACATACATACAATAAATAAATCTTTAAAAAAAAATGTAGGTGTTGTGTTTATAAAAAGATAAAGAGTATGTCCTTTGGATGTGTGGAGAGGTATAGAGGAAGGGGATGTCTCACAGGACCCATGTCGAGGCATCTCTTCCCCCTGAGGGACCAGTCACACACTGGTATAGCATAGAATAGAGTTTATTCAGGGCATGGGGAGGGGAGCCAGGAGGGTAGTAGAGGCAGAGGCAGAGGCAGAGGCAGAGGCAGAGGCAGAGGCAGAGGCAGAGGCAGAGAGAGAGAGAGAGCGAGCGAGAGAGCGAGGGGTGGGGGGAAGGCCAGCCATGACCACGTGGAGAGAGGGGGAAGGGAATGGGGGAGGGGCAGAGAGAGGCTACAGGCAAGAGAGCAAGAGGGTAAGGGAGTAAGAGAGAGAGGAGGGAGCAAGCAGCCCCTTTTATAGTGGGCAGGCCTACCTGGCTGTTGCCAGGTAACTGTGGAGGTGGAGTTTAGACAGAATACTAACAGTAGGTAATTGTAATAAAATATCTGTGCTCTAAGCATAGAAAAGAAATGATATTAATACTAGACAATAGGAATTTTAAAGTTTCATTAAAATCTTTCATAGTCACTACTGCTAACATCATTAACTAAATTGTTGCTATGTGTTGCGTAATACCACAGTATCATTCTTAGTTCTATCATTCAAATAAAAATACATAGTAGATTGACGTTCCATGCATAGCAAAACCCATGAGTTTCATGTTCATGGAGCCAGAGTGCACTTCATTTGGTGTGAATTCCTGTCAGGGGCAGCTCTGCTTATACACAGAAGGCCTAAAATCAGCCATAGGCCTAAAATCAGCAATAGGCCTGACATACATGCCTGCTAACACAAAGTCTTGGGTCTCTGTGGAAAAACTGAAACAGATAGCTATAAGATACTGTAAACAGTCAGCTCTGGTGGAAATTTACCGCCTGGATAGGAACAAGTAGTCATAGGTCTTGTATATAGTCATAGACCTTGGGTAGCCTTGGTGGATAGTACCAACTTAGATAAGGACAAGTGAATCATAAGCGGAGTCATAGTGACCTGTCCCCTGAACCTTCACCCAGCTGACACTCTGTTCTGGAAGATGTCTGTACTTCCCCTGAACACCTACGCTCCTGAGTCATCCCCTTCCCCACATCCTGCCTTTTTGTGTATATAACCCCTGTGTGAAAAAAGTAAAATCATTGGTTTGATCAGACTATAGACAAGCTGTGTTTCTTTGTGCCTGCCTGTTTCCTTCCATCTCTCTCTCAGTGATCTCCCCAGACCCCTGTTTAATGCCCTGCTGGACAGGACAAATTCCTTGATGAAAAACGACACTCTGTAGAATACAACGATGGTGGAGTTAGTGAGTCTGTAGATGATAATGTAGATTCCATACAGAGTAGGAAAATCAATATCCATGTTGTCATTCCAGTAAGAAAATATCGCCTCCTTCCCAATGCAGTGTTCTCAACCTACTACCAGACCACTGGTTGGTTACCTTGGGAAAAGGAGCCATATCCAGAACTTTATGGTGGACTTCGGTACTAACAGATTGAATACTCTATAGTGGGTATAGTGGTGCAGACATACATGTAGGCAAAACACTACTAACATAAAATTTAAAAAAAAATCTGCTGTACATTGGTGGTATGTGTTTTTACTTTCTCAAAGGGAGATTATCTGTATAAAAACCTTGAGGCTTTGCTCCAAAACTGTCTATGGGACCTGCCATAGGCTGTAACTCACATCCATGTTTGTCACCGACAAATCAAACACCACTGGTTTTGCTGGATCATGTAACCCATATGGCAGAGCAGCCTGTATAAAAGTAGCAGGCTTTTATAAGGACTTTTAAAAAGCATGGACTGTTTCATTTTAGAATCTCCTGTTACGGGCTTCACCTCAAACTAACAGTTTTCTTTGCACTACACAAATGATCTGGTTTGAGTATACATCCTCAAAGTTTAAGCTCAAGCTAGCCTGGGATTCATTAGGTATTCCAGGCTGCCTTGAATGTATGGGAACCTTCCTGACTCAGCCTCCAAACTTCCGAGATTATAGGCATGATCCACCACAGTC